GTCAAAATAAAAATCTTAATTCTAATATCAAGCAAATGTAAGTGTTAATTAAAATTCCGAATATTCTAGGCGGCTTTAAATTGAATTCACTATGCTCGGTAACACTGACTAAAAATAAAATGTAGCGAATGTTTTTTTTTTTTCATACCATATCCATATATCATGATGAAATTAATGAAGTAGAAGTTCTGATCGCTCAAACATTATATGCCTTTTTTATTAACTTTAATTTATTTTGATTTGAGATCAGTGTTTTGATATCAGTGCGAAAACTAACATCATCAGTTGATGTTTGTTTTGAGTCAGGACCAAAGTCTATTTCTGCAGCACGATACGTTTTGTTGTTCTATTTATAAGTGCAAAATGAAGTATCTAAAGACCAATATAAAGGAAATGTGAGTCAGTAAAAGATGTTACTTAATTTCTTCTTCAAAAAATACCGAGCGAGAATAGCTTAATACCTTGAAATGATTAAATATGTGATTGATTGATAATATGTACAAACAAATCAATATGTTTGTTTTGTGATATTTGTGTGGAAAAACATGTTTAACCTAGTTAAGCAACATTATCTCAAATCTTATGCAACAATAAAGAAATAATACTTTAATAGTTCCATCCATGTCGTAAGAAAAATAAATGAAAATCTATAATTATATAATAGGAGCTTATAATGCGGACTTAACAATAATAATAATCATAGACAATATTGCAATATTCTAAGAGATCGTGCGGTTTTCCTTGAACATCACTGATTGACTATATTACCATATACACATTCATAGAGTTATTCGTATGTGAGGTGAAAGAATTATTCACAAAAGAAAAACAAATGCTGCAACGAATATGAAAATAAAACATTCAGTTTCTCAAGTCTATGTTGCAATCGGATTTTTATGCTGCTGCTGCCATTCTCATTTTTTTTTCCTCGACACTCAATGCTGTTCGCTCACTAAATCTATACACGACATAAATCGAGAGCATAAATTATGAATGTATTGTGGAGTGAAAATTTTCATACTTTTTTCATTCATAATTTAAAATCATAAAGTTTTGTATTTGTTCTCTAAATAAATTGATTTTCATGTCATAAATTGTTTAAAGTTTGCATGGCAAAAATAATTGATGATAAAATTGGCTTTGCGCTATTGAAATAAAGAGTTTTAAAACAAGCAAAACGTATACATTACCACTACAACATTCAATTTACTCTCGAGTAAAATAAAGAAAAACAAGAAGAGAATTGAGAAATAACTTCTCACATAAACGAATATAAAAGTCGTACGATATTCATGTATTTACATGCGATTGAGAGTAAAACGTAATGCGTATATTCTCATATTCCGAATACAACGATAAATTTCTTAACTGCTGCAAACCAATACACAGACATGTTCAGCTTTTTCTTACCATTCACAATAATAAAATTTTGAAAAAGTACATTTTTCAATAGTCTTTCACAGTCACTAGGAAACATCTGATCACTTTAAATTTTTTTCGTTTCGTTTGTTACTTTTTTCTGCAAGTAGAAAAAAATAGAAAAAAAGGAGAAGAAAGAAAAAAATTTTCCAGGCAGAAAAAAAGGAAGTTCAAAAATAAGGGATTATAACATTGATTATTTAAGCATCAAAATACTTAAAAAATGTGCATATAGTTTGCACTTGAAAAAAATGGCTGAAGCCATTCAGTGAGCGTTTTGTGATATCTTTATTTAAAGTTCTTATTCGTATAAAAAAAAATTGTGATATTAAAAATTGAATTTAATTCAAAAGAGTGAAGTACTTCCATGCTTAAGAGCCCTTTTAATCAAGTGAATTAATTTAAAATTGAAAAAGAGAAAATTTAATGATATAAAATCAAATAAAACTAAAGAAGAAGAAGCTATTACTTAAAGGGAAATTTACAATCACCTTTTAATAGACAAGATCTTGTCAGATTAGCCATCCGATAAAGAAATATAATTTCACTGTCTGCAATTCATCGGAAGTAAACGTGAAAAAAATAAGATTTTTGAAGCGTTTAAATTAGATAAAGTTTTCTAATAATTTTCATTAAATACATAATAAAAAAGCAATGAAAGCAGATATGATGGCCGTACATCAAATTCAATCGCTTGGAGCTAAGCAAGATATTTTACGAGATGTTGTTATCAAATATATAGATCATTTTTATCCAGAGTAAGTATATATAACTTGATAGCATTTTAAATATTTCGTAGCCATTTTTCAAACATTTTTAAGAATTGTTGGCTTTTATGATGAAAGAAAAATGTAAGAAAATCACTTAATGATAGTAAACTAAAGAGTTATAAGACAGAAAACTCACTTTTCGTTCAAACTGAAGACTATATAGTCTTCTTCTGGAATATCGCCATGTAAGCAGAAAAATAAAATGGTGGTCGAACAGAAAAACAGTCTCGACTGAACAATTTTCAATTTATTTTAATATTTTCAATAAAAGCAGCTCATAAAAAATTGCAAAATTGCGTGTAATAAAAATTATTCTTGTGCATTTTAAAGTGTACATTTTTGGTGAGTGAGCAGCATAAGCCTCGTGATTATCTGTAACTTTACATCTTGTCGTCTAACATACACACATACACATACAAATGTTTTATTTTTATACATGCACATTTCAAACCTCCTAAGTAGTCAGTCTCGATTCTCCTTGAAAATAAACGCAAAAATATATTTATATTTTATTTCTCTACAAGTTAGAAACTATAAAACAAATTTAGAATATATGGCCTTAAACATGTTTTCAATTTTATGCAGAAACATTTTTTATTTCGACTCCAATCAGAGATATTTTTTTTTATCGAAAGGTAGCGCAGACAAGAAGAAGGAGAGAATTTTGGTTCTATTTTCTCATGAATGTGTATGTGTATTTGGAAGTAGCAACCCCGTGGTCCCTGAAAATTTTCCTACATTTTTAATAAATTTAATTTATTAATAGCTAATCTGAAAATTAATTTATGAATGGTATGAAAAAAAAATCTCAGCAGAGTCATTCTTGCTAGCAAAAATAAATCTTAAACTACGTGGTCGTGCAGCAGCAAAAAAAAATTACTCTACTTCGATAAGAAAGATTTTTGATATTTAATTTGTGTGAATTCATTAAACAAACATCTGATGATTCGTCACTCGTGCTTTAAGGGTGGGCACTTGATTATGTACCTATACGAAATAGATTTGTCGTGTGTCAGTATAAATATAATTTATCATCAAATAACGCAAAATGAGCGAATAAATTTAACGTTTTAAAAATAATCTGAAGGTTATATTTTGAATCACAACTGAAATGGTCAAGTTCATTGAATGATTAAAAAATTTCTTTTTTTGCAAAGATAGAAGAAGAAGAAAAAAAATGAAAATTATTTCATGCGATTCAATATGAAGAAAATTAAAGAAATGTATACAATGTGAGAAAAAAAACGGTACAGGCCATTGAAAGGAGATGAAAGAAAAATTAATAAACGTGAGCCAGACATTTTTTCCTCCTTCTTCGCTTAATATCAACAAATGGACTCAAAAGTATACAAAGACACAAAATCATTTTTCATTTCATCCAGTTGAATTTTTTTGGCTTCAAAAAAGTCATTTATTTTCGTAAGTTAATTAAAAAATTTATCAATACGAAAGAGAGAAAAGAAAGAAAAAGATTAAAATGACTTTCTAGAAATTCGCTAGAGTTTTCTAAATTTATCTAAAACTTAAAATTTGCAAGTTTTTGTTGCGTAATCAAATGGATGTGCTCGCTTAAAAAAAGGAGTGAACAATTAAACTGAGTCATTTTAATTTGTTCTTTAATCAAATTAGTAGCGAAGTTTGCAAAAACTACGCAACAAAACTCACGTAAAACAAATTTACACAATCGTAATTAAATATTTCATCAAAGTTTGAGGTAATTATTTTTTCTTAGAAAAAAATATAACAAGTTACACACTCATGTCAAGTATCAAGTGGAAAATTAAAGCCTCAATGTTTTCAAGAACTTTTTAATATTGAAAAAAAAACTCAATTCAAGATTTTTTGCATTAATAAATTTATTATTGAAAAATTTGTGATGAGAAGAATAAGCAAATGAGACAATTGATGATCTAAGCTTTAAAGTAAGGTATGACGGAATCGGCTAAAACAGGTTGGAAAACCATAAAATATAAATAAACTCTGTATTGTGTATTTTGAAAGTTGACTTCATATTTGTTATTGACAACAAAGTGAAATCCTTTATTTTTTGCTTCATGTCTCTTACTTTTAAAATGATGTTTACGGAATAAAACACGAGACTGTCGTGCCCACCTCTTCTTCTTTTACACCTATTTTGAGACAAATTTTTAGTTAATGTTTTCATAAAATTAATGGGTCTTTGTGTACATTTTGACTGAGTTGTTTAAACTTGTTATGATTCCATTATAATTCAATATTTTTGAAAAAAAAAATCAACATTATACTAGGTCAGTACTGTCCAAACATTTTATACACCATGCGTCATTAGCGTGCAACCAAATTTATTTTTTTGTTTTGTTTTGTTTCATCGTGGTTTCCTGCACAACATAAATTTAGCTTAAATATATCCGGATCCAATATAATCAATCAATTGACGAGAAATGCGCTATAACTTGCGTAGCAGCAAAAGTTGAAAGTTTAAATGAAACTAAAATTTCTTAATCGATGAAATTTTATTTCTCATTCAATGTATATAGGTATTGAGCAAAAAGGGGTCATCTAAAAATAAATTTTTCAGTTGCTAAGAGATTTATGTACTTCATAAAAAATCATTTCCTGATTCCGAGCTTCATTTAATGAAGCAATGTTTCGCTTTGCAATGGCTATTTATATAAAGTCTATAATTTTGATGCAAAAAACTTTTTTTTTTAGAATAGTCAAACATATAAAATAAAATATATATCATTTCATCTGTTCTCATCAATGTTTTTTATTTATCTATTGACTATAATTTATTTATATTTATTCTATTTTTTTACCTTTTTTCCTTAGTGCATCTGGAACGAGTGCTGTCGCAATTGATAACAAAATTGAACAAGCAATGGTGAGTAACATTACTACTCCTTTTTATATAAATTACCTACTAAGGAAAATCGACCCAAAATTATTTCGCACAATAAACATTAAATCTATATTTTATTACCTTTTTTATAATCGAATAACAAAGTGGCTTAATGTTATTTGTAAGAAAATCTTTAGTAGTAGTCGTCACATATTTATTAAGTCAATCATGATCACATTTTATCGCACTTTGGAAGCAGTATAGAATTTCGACACCCACTTCAATCATGTTTCAAGATCTATTTTGAAAGAAAAACATTTTTTATTTCGTCTTACCAGTTTTGTAGCTCTCATTCGCGAAATTTTTATACAAATCAGAGAATTTATATTATTTTTTCGAAGCAGGAAAAAGATGATATGTTTTAAAAATAGTCTAACTATTCGATGAATGTTCTGACGCGAATTCCTGAAAAATTTGTATATTTTATGAAGCTCAATGAAAACGTTTATATGCATGACTGTGAAATGAGACAGTGAGGAAAAAAATTGTCACAAATCAAATTACTATGACTTGAAAAGGCAAAAAAATATATAAAAACTTTATAATTGCTAGTCATTGAGTTGTGACGCTATCAAATAGAAATAATTAAAGTGATAAGCATTGCAAAAAAAAATATACAAATATGTTTGAATTTGATGTCATCACATGACTCACGTGTTGAACCAAATTATGTTTCAATCCATTATCTGATAAAATCGTGAAAATCTTTATTTCTTTTGAGAAATAATTACATTATTCGGTGAAAAAAGAAAGAAGCTCACGAATCGTTTTGAAATATTATTTACTTACTTTCGTAAACAGCCATAAAACCTATATAATTTAATTTTTTTACTTGGATTCGGCTTCAGTGTATATAATTGCCTATAGATACGTAAACAGCTTAAGTGCAATAAAAATTTCAAAATATCTGACGATACCTGAATAATACTTCAAGGGAGACGATACTTTGTTCAGTTTATTTCTTATAACAACAATGTCTATTTACTTAATTTATTTTTATTTCTTTTACCTCTTGCTCTTTTCGCAAAATTTATCGACGTATGAAGTCCTACGGTGGTCGCTGAATGACGTTAGCCACACACTCAAGAACCGATTATCTTATTTTGTCAATAATACTCATTCATTTTGTCTTCATTTCTAAGTATTTAACAATATTCAGATAAATTTGATCATTTGACAAAAATATTAGTCACGTTGTAATTTTTTATTAAAAGAATTTTGAAGCTATTCCTAGTAAATGTTATATTCGTTCATCTTCTAAGTATATGTTTAACTATGTTATTGAACTAATAACATTGTAGATAAAATTATTTACTCTATGATATTTCCTGGTATATATGATAACAATGTTCATTAAAAATGTTAATATTTCATAAAATAATGAAAATACGCTTAAGAGATCACAATGTGCAATTATCTATTACTCTTGATTTAAAAATAGATTTTAAATAAATTAGAGAGCTTTATTCCTCTTAATGTGATAAATTACAAGCTAAACTGAAGTGCCTATTAAATAAATATGGATTCTTAGCTTGTTCACTTTTATATATTTTAACTCGTTGCTGAAGTACAAGCAAGAAACTATTTTTAGCATCTTAATTCAAAGAAAAGCACGAGACACAATAATTTAAAGCAATAGAATTCTTTTTTAAAAAATTGATGATGAAGTATTAATGTCGTAATGAAAAAGGTCATGATAGACACAATAAAGATAAGAAGAGTCCAGCAGCTAAGAGTCTGCCTTTTAATTTCAAAGTGATAAAGTTGAACGTAAAATCGGTTTGTTGATGTCGCTTTGTTTATGATTTTTTTTTTGACATAAATGTGTTAAATACATTTTATTTACAATCTCAAAAAATTCAAACAATGATTCTTTTTCCTCGTCGACAGTTTCGAAGAAGTAAAAAAAACTGTAGTCGCATAGTCTCACTCAACACTTTTCTTAAAAATTCTTCTTACACGTTTCGAATTGTACTCTTTCCCGTGCAAGTTTCTTCAAAGTCATTAGAGTCAATGACTGCACTTTGCTTTTCTGCTTTGATGGTCATATCAAAAGAGTTATATGTGTAGAACGATATAATTAATGGTAGAGAGTCTGAAAGAAACCGACAAATTTAACAGACTGAGTTGTTTAGGGCAACTTTTTACAATGAAATGAAGTGACGTCATAAGTATGTTATATTGTTGCGAAATGAAATTTCACATTGCATCATACGATTAAAATCGAAAGGGTTATGTTCTAATCTGAGTCATCAACTAAATACCCCAAAAAAACAAATGAATCATAAATCACACTATGCGAATAGAGATCACCTCATTGAAATGTGACAAGCAATGACGGAAAAATTAACATTTTGAGCACACAGCAGCAGAGTAATTATTAGCGACAATATTGTCAAACTAGATCAAAAAGTCAGTGGGTCATTTTATTATTGAAAAGCAACACTTGAGCTTCATGTTTTTGATGTAATATGACTTTTATGGAACTGAGCTCAAAGTATTTATTACAACCAAGTTATTGCATGTATCATGCATGACGTATGATCGCTAAAAATATGATGTCATTTACAATGCAACTCTGCTGTTTATTAAATGATTCGTGTATGGGTATTACTTATTTCTTTTTATGCTGATTTCATGCCTACCTTTATAGTTAATAACAACACAATACAACCTCACGTCATTGAGAGACATCACTTTTTTTTCTTTTCATCATACTCAGCATTTTCTCTCTGAATTGTATTTGCGTTAGCTAGTGAGTAAGTCTTTCAATGTGTACAATATTCATTGCGAGTGAAATATGTGGTCGAAGAATACACTCAGAATCGGCTTTTTAAAAATGAAAATGAAGAAATGAAACTTTACACAAGTGAGAATGTTTTCCACTTCTGCATTAGACACACATTCAGTTTTTACTTTATTTTTGTTGTTGTCTCAGAGAAAAGAATTGAAAATGAAATAATAATAATGAATACACAAGTAGAGTTCAGTGAGTAATGTGACTTTGAATTATATAAAACTTAATGTGGTTCGATATAGACACTCAGTCGCCCTATTGAGTGAAGTCTGACAACATCATTAATTTACAATTCTAAAGAGAATAAAGCAAGCTAATAAATAATAAATAAAATATAAGGAATTATACAAAACACAAAAAAGCTAGCGAATATTTATATAGAATAAAATATAAAAAGTTTAAATTTATTGTGTGGAATTCGCTATATACCGTAATAATAAAAGCGATTGAAGGGAAAATTCTATAGGAAAAGTTTCCTGTTTTCATTTTTCTCAAACTCGGAATAAAGTAACTTAATCAATATAAAGTATATATAAAAGTGAAAACTCGTGAACAGATTCATTTTTGATTTCACAAAGTGCACATTACATCGTCAAAAGCCGCGAGAAGTGAGAGACACAATTCCAGTTGATTTTCTTTATTTTCTACAATAAACTTTTTTTTTCGTTCGGATCCGTCTTGAAAAGAAAGAAAAAAAGTGAAATAAAAAATCGAGGGAATTAAAAAGTGAAAAATACTCGTATTGACAAGACATCGCGGAGAGTACTTAAGCTTCAAGTGTTTCAAACCCGATAAGAACTTTTTTTAAACGTCAAATTTTTGGCCGGAAAATCACGTCATTCAGCAATTTTTTTAATAAAAATTGATTAGATTACTAAATACTTCAGGTCTACAGAATTAAATAAATTAAACAAAAACACAATAAAACTTCACGTGATAAATATTTTATATACAAAGGCCAGAGATTGATTGTGAAAAATAAAATAGAAAAACGCTTATCAATATTTTTATACAATATTGCAGTGAGGACATTATTGATTTGTGTAATATCACTAAATAGAATAACAATAACAAAATAACTCAGTTCTGATTATTTTTTACAACTTAACAAGTGAAAAAGACTCGCAAACAAATGACAATTATGGAAACATTAACTTATCAGCACCAACAGCCAAAAAATTGGTTGTATGAGATAAAGCAAAAAGGAGATTCACAGACCTGCTATGTTATGGTACAAAATGCAAAAGTATGTACAACTTCGAATTACACATCAATTTATATGAACTAAATTTCTTTGCCTTAACCCAATTAAGAAACTTAATATGATTATTGTTTTACTTACAATGTCTCTTTAAAAATCTTTGAGTATTCGAATTTCATAAGTTAATGTTTGAGAAATTTTAAATTAAATTAATTTCGTTCTATAAATAGGTTGTTGATAAGTGTTGTTGGAAGTTATCGTCCAAAGTACAAAATAAAACTCTAATTTTAGCAAGCATGAAGTAACGATCGTGCTTTTTATTGCGTTTCGAACTAAATTTTCCACTTATCGGTTAAAAAGTGACTTATATTTTTTCCTTATCAGCAAACTAGGCTTATAATTCGTCTAAGATACTTCATAATGTTTTGACATCCAAGAGTCTAACTTTATTATTGTCACAGTGATATGATTTTTATTTATTTTTTTCAAGCAAATGACACACGTTTTGTGACAAATTAAGCTCTTTAAGAAGACGATAAGAAAAACTTCAGTGATAATTACTGCTTTTAGCTGCTACTTCTTATTCTATGATTGTTGTTTACAAATTTTATTTAAACTTCATCGCGTCAAGACTTTTTTTTTCGCAATTTAAGTATTAATTAACACAGTAGATGTGAAAAGTCATCAACCCATAAAGGAAGCATTCAATGCGTGCTTACTTCATCGTATCAATCGGGAAGAAGAAGAAGAGATGAAAAGAAAAAAAATAATAAAATTAAATCGCAATTAAAAATGGCATTTATTGAGCAGTTTTCCGAGCAATAAATTGAAATTTCTAGAGGGTTACAGCTCAATCATCATTTTCCGAATAAAACAAAAGGTTGCTAGGTATTTGGCATAGCTTCAAATTGTAATAAATTTCATCTTACTATTTTGAAATATTAGCGAATGAAGAATTTCGTAGAATTGAATGTAATTTGTCGATCTTTATTTTCTTAATGTGACTTTGGGGTCTTTCACATATGACGTCAACAAGGGTTTTTAAAAGAAGTCCTCTCTGAGGCTTCATACCTGGCATCCAAAAATTATTCCCATTCCAAAATGTTTTATGCAAAAATAAATTCACCGTCGATACTTGAAAAATATTTTCTTTACTGATCGGGTTTCATTCAGTCAGTCTGAGAATTAATGAACACAGTTTTGCAATTACTTAAGGCATAAAACATTTGATTGATGTTCATTAAATCTCGTTTTTCCATTTAATTGTATTTACCTTATCGACAAATCGATTGAAAAAGGGAATAAAGGCACGTTTTTGAATGAAAATTTCCTTACTTTTAAGATTCAGCTGGAACTGTATTTTGATTTTTCTCACATAAATTTTTCATTTCTAATTGATTTGAAAAATAAGAATTCGGATTGAGTTTATTTCTATGTCGGTACCTAATAAAAAATAGAATGCTTAAGAGTCTGAGGCAAAAAGAGGATAACAAACCATTAATTGACTATTCAAAACATTAATAAGGAAGTTTTGCGAAAAAATCGCATGCTGATATCACTGAATGATGTTGCAGAATCGCGCTATTTCTGCGATTGAATTTCCATTTATCATAAATATGAGATTTCGGTTTGACAATCGACTAGAAACTCAATCTTATTGACGTCACTCTTGATTACATTTCTTTTTGCTTAAATGAATATTTTATTTCTGCGGTAAATAGATAGTTTAAAATTGATCACCTGATGATGTTCTCTATAAAAATTACGAATGTACATTTTGCAGTCACAATCTTTTAATATTTTTTGTTCGAAACTCTAATATTCACTTCATTAAATCTTCATTAATTTTTGTACGTCAAACGATTTGTGTGGTGAACGCAGTGATTCGATTAATGTTCAGCTCCTGCCATATGTCTTTGGGGTAGTTCACAAATGACGTCCATAAAAATGAAGTTTTCCCCTGTCACGTGATTTCAAGAAAAAAAGTTTCATTTATTTGTATGACGGAGTCAAACAGCTTTAGATCCACTCAACCCTAAAGCTAGACATCATTGTATGAACGACCTTAATTAAAAATTTTCTTTTTCCATATTTGTAATTTAATAAAGTTGCAGTTGCTAAGCATTAATAATAAAAAAGTCTCGTAATTGACATTGGATTGATGACAGTTATTGCATATAAATTTCGCATTCAACGTGCGAGTGTAGAGTTAATTTGATGCTAAAATCTCCTCATAGTTTTACGGTTTTCTCACACATCTCATTATTCACGAGTCGTGTACATTTCACGATTGTTTAATTTAATTTTCTGTGTACGCAATCCAAAAAAGCCGGTTTTTTACATTTCACAGATCATTTATGTTGTATGATCGCTGACTATTTGGCAACTGTAGTGAGACTGACTTGATTTACGTCAAAATAAAATAAATTTGCTTCTGTTTCCTATCTCATACATAGAAAATTCTCGTACAATCTCTAAAATGACTCAATTAATAATTTCACATTCCATTTGATTTAAAAGCAGATTTTTCAAGAAATTTGATATACACTCGAGTGTGGCAAATTCATAAATAACGAAATAAAATGAAAAAGAAAACTCAAAATAAAAACAAACATAAACAATTCAAAAATGTCGCCATGATCCACATTTAATATATTAATAAAAAAAAATAATTAAACAAGAAGAAGCCAAAATTGAATTTTTCACTCCAGAAAACAAATAAAATTTTTATGCATACCTCACCATGTGTTCCGTGAATAGTCTATTAACTGCGCAAAAAAAAGGTTCAAATGAAACATTCTTCTTTCCTGACTCGAGACTTCACCTGAAATACTTTTCAAATTGTGTACAAAAGTTGCTTTTTATTTGTCATACAAAATATGTTCCATTTAAATGAATACAAATAAAAACAGCAAAGCCGACAAAATAATGTGAGATAATCGAGACGAGGATCTTGATATATTAATAGTGCCATGCGAAAGTAAATTTAATTTTACGCGTGCTTTGGAATATTTTAATGCATGTTGATGATTTCATTTTTTACACATTAAAAAGTCGCCTTTTTCCTTGATAAAAAATAAGAGTGTAAATATTTATCAAAAGCTTTATTTCCTTATTGTCAACTGATGCTTCATGTCTGTAACTACATTTCTTTATATACATCATGTATTTATTGTTATTTTTATAAAGTATGAACTATTCACGTTAGGAACGAATTGAAGAGTAAATACAGATCATTTTTCTATTTTGAAATCGAAAGAGTCAAGAAAGCTTTAATGCAATATGAAATAAGTTGTCGGAAAAGACCTCGTGCACACACTTTGTAAGATTCCTTCCTATCACTCGGTGAATAGTTTGACAGCACAATACACGAGTTGACGTGGATTTAAGGAGATTCATAAAAACTATTTCTAGTTCTACAAAAATCTTACAATTTTCACTGGCTATAAAATTATTTTATTCAATGGAAAGATTCACGATGAGATTATATATTTTTTGAATAATTGCCAAGTGCAGAAGTGAGTGAAAGAGGATGAGACAGTTCTAGAGACAGATAAACTTTTTTAATGAAATATTTTCAGCCCCTCCTTTAATGCCGATACAATTTGTCATCTTTTCTTTAATAAATTACTTTTGTGGAAAGATATCTTACGGATTAATGCTTGCAGCAATAAAATATTCATTAAAGTACTACCTGAAAAGGATTTACAGCGATCAATAAATAAATACATAATAATTCTAGGAACATAAACATTATTTGTCACGTACATGATCTAATTTAGAGATTTCATTGTTTGTCAGGGTCATAAACTTCGATTCGTGTTGCCTTGAGTGATAATCCCTGACCTCTTCTCTATCTATCTAAAAAAAATCTCAAGGACACATTTCACTCTGATAAAGAAGCGTCTTTATGGTTTATTTAATTGAAACATTTTTTTTTTGTTCGTTGTTGCTTCATTTTGTCACCTCGAAATTCTTTCAAGCACGATTTTTGTACTGACAAGCAGTTGAAAATATGAAAAAAAATAATGATCATCTTTGTGCACGCACATTTCACGTTCCGTATTTGCTTTAATGCTCTTCTTATTACATCCGTCACGAGAGAAATTTTTCATTTACCTTATTTTTTTGTGTAAAATTTTTTTAAGTAATTAAAAAGAAGAAAAAGTGCTGTTTTGAAGGGAATGAAAAGTATAGTGGAAAATTTTCCATTTGCACGTAAGGAGCACATGAACAATAAGCACTATTTAGTGTTAGTGATAACTATTTTAAGTTCCTTTGGAGAATGTGAAATGAAAAATTTGTTTTGCCACACTTTGTAGCTCTCTCAAGTGCACTAAATTATTCCTGAATAATAAAGTGTGAATGATTTTTATTGCCATGAGCGGAACTGAGAATAGGAATCTTATTGGAAATGGAATGTTTGGCTAAAGGGATGCTTATTAATGATGTCTTTAATAAAATATTTATATTGCCGTCTTACTATCCATTTTTATGAAGGACGTTATTTACGAACAAGCCTTAATGACTCATTAAAAACTAAGCTTATTTACTATCGGTATTGTTTTTAATTGCATTTAATTATTGACAAGAATTTAAATATAACAAATGAATTCACATGCTTGTTAATATTTATTTATGCTAATCAATATAACCTGCCTTTTAATCGCTCCCGTCTAATTAAATTCGCATTACTAATATGGACTTCGATCCACGCTTCTATATTTTCCATGTTGTAAGTATCGAAAAATTGTCCACAACATTCCTTCGCTAACCACAAAGAAAAGGGAAAATCGGTACAATATGGCTAATAATTAATGACATCTATCGCTTACTCTCTAATATGCTTTAATGTACATTGTCAGTAAAAAGAGCACAAATCTGTAATTTATTGTGTGACACAATTCTTTCGAATTGATTTTTTCTTTCTTTTTCTTTCTTTCCTTTCCTTTTGCTTTTCATTCATTTCACTTTTCATGTCTGCAAAAATTGTCATCGCATGTATTGTGAAAATAAGTATCGCATTTTTAATGTTTTTTATGTGTACAAACATGCTCATAACTTCTTTTTTTGCACATAGTAATCATTACATTCATATCTGGAGTAGTCGCGGTATTTTGTCATAGTGAGGTGTTGCAAAAGCGCTGTAATTTTCACCGGAATGTTTTTTAATTGCTAAGGACTTAGTTGTATATTGTGACAGAGCAAATAATAAAGCTATAAAGAGATATTATTTATTATCAACCTAGATCTACTGATATTTGTCATAATGTGATGAGTGATGATCATAAACATAAATTTAATATTATATCGAAACAATGAAATCTTTGTTGGTGATTTTTTGTTTGTTGTGACTAAATCAGAAAATTTTCCATTTTATCAGTGACAAAAGTCGTGTTTTGCTGGAAAGAAAAATCACGCTTATATGATTGCGGTGCACTATTGCATTATATTATTGCTACCATCAATATTTTGCCATAATTTTTAACTCAGAAAGAAACGAAACATGTTTTAATGATATGGCGATGGCAACAAGATCGATGGTTTTTTTTTCATCTCTGCTTCTTCTTTTTGGTCTTGTGATTGATACAAAACCAGCTGTGTGCAAGAATGATGAAAATGAGAGTTTTCAGTATGTGCAATAAATGGTCTATTCAATGTAAATATGGAGATTATAAAGACTTGATGATAATGATATTTATTATCGTTTTTATTGATGTGCGGGTTATTGACAGATTTATTGCTATTTAATTGTTATTATCTCTTAGATTTTCTTTACGTCGATTTTCCTTTATGATGAAAATATGCATTTCATAATTATTTAATTGCTCTTTAACTCATAAGTAATCACTTTTAATTTCTCATCATTTCCTTTTAGGATCTCGTTAAGTCACATTTAATGTTTGCTGTTCGTGAGGAGGTGGAAGTTCTCAAAGAGAAAATCAATGAACTTATGGATCGCATCAATCAATTGGAAGTAGAAAATACAATATTGAAAGCCAATGCTAGTCAAGAGACACTCTCACAATTAACAACGGCAGCTCCATCACCTCCTCAGCAGCAGCAACAACAACAACAACAGCAGCAGCAACAGAGTGCATCACCAGTCGTCTCGCAAAATCCTCCATCACAGCCTCAACAAATAACTACACCTTCACAGCCGCAAGCTACTCAGCCATCAGCCAATACACAGAATCAGGCAGCATCCTAGATAAATGAGTTATTAGGAATTCTAAGAAATTTTTAGGATATGATCAAAAGTGTTTAGAAGAGCTAAGATTTAAAATAATAATTCAATCACCTTCAAATTCGCCATGTCAAGAAAGAGAAGAAAGTCTTCAAAATGGAGATTGATGTTTGGTATTAAATATTCTAGCTGCTACAACACATTACCAGGGTTGCTGTCTAGTCATCCGGATCTAGATTATCTTTTCCGAATAATAATATGAGTAAGCACTATTTAATATTTTTGAGCCTGACTCGAAATGCATGCAAAAATTGCTGAATCTAGATCAGGAACAACTAAAACAAATTATGATGGCAACTCTGCAAAGTAAAAACTGAAAGCATTGCATTGTTATACAGTACTAAAACTGAGTAATATAAATTTGCTAGCTTACACATTACAACGTTTATGCTTATTGCTGCGAAAATAAAGAATGAAGAATAGAAGTAATTAATGTGCCGCGCAGAATTTTAGTTGACTGTTCCATTACGGCGAATTAATTGTGATTGAGATTATATAATTGTAAAATTAACTTTATTTTACATTTAAAAACAAAAAAACAAATTGCAAAGAGAATTATTATCACCATTCTGGTTTAAATAAGTGACGAGAGTAATATTTTTATAAAGAAAAAGTGGATGGATGATAAGAAGATTATGCAAATCAAATAATAATAATAACGATTATAAATATTATGATACAAAAAGTCACGAATATGATAAAGAGTTTACAGAAGTAAAGTTATGGGAAAAAGGGTGCGAACTGACAAAACTCGTACACACATACACACACAAACGATAATGCTTTGATTACATCATTATTATGATCAGTATCGTGCAAAGCAAGCTAATTCATATGGAAGGTAGAAGGTGGCATTTAAATATGAGACGACATATACTGTATTATGAGATTTATGCTTTGATTTTAACTTAGAACGATATTTGATGTTCAATAAGCAGAAGAAAAACATGAAAATTGTAAATACTTTAAACAATTGTTTTAAATACACTCACATATACACACACAATAGTTAAATTAAATTTTTTTTATATATTTTCTAACTCAACTCGAGCAACACAAAATAATGAGATGAGGCTGTCACATCAAGGCATTAATTGTAGTCATAAAATGTTTGTTACACTTCTTTATTCGATTGTAAATTATCAGCCATTTAACTGTTAAGTTGACTTTCATTAAGGCAATTCAGGACAGAGTGATGTAGAGCTTAACTTTGGCAAGAAATCGTGATTGTCAGGAAACACGGATATAAGAGTTTTAATAAACCGTCCAGTGACCAACATTTTTTCAATCTTAATGACCTTCTTATTGAGTGTCTTATTACAACTTTTTTGACTATCAAAGTAACTTTCATTTACTCGTCAAGTGACAGTCCAAACTTCTTATTTCTCACTTTTTTTGTATTGCTTGAGATACACAAAAAGTCTACACATGTTGACATGCTTTCTTTATTGTAGAAACATGAACGAATTTGTTTGTCAGATAACGAATAAATAAAAGCTAAATGATGATGAATTAACAGAATGTAAAATTATAAAGCATGCAGCATGTAAACCATAGTATTTTCTTAATAGACAGACAGATATTTATATCAACTCAATTATTAAGACATGAACCTTTAAACACACATATACACACACATAAATTATTAATAACCAATAAATTATTATCCAAATGATGAAAAACATGTTGTTTCTTTAAAAACACACGCTTCAATTAGAGTAGGATGTAATAAAAGTGCTATAATATCGAAGTGCATAATTCAGGACTATTAAAATGATGTCTATAAGAACTATAAATCACTTGATGTGATTCAATACAGATCCATTTCCTTAAAAAAATGGAACTCATTGAAATTTTTTGATCCAAATTAATAAAGTTAAACTTGGTGATTTATTTCACATTTTCAAGTTTTATTGGGAAGTGAAGAATTGCTTGCGTTTATCCAAGAATATCTAAAGCTCTATAACAGTCATTAATTTTAAATTAAATGGCTTTAGAAAATTCTTTGTTTAGGTTTTGATGCAAAACCTTAATTAAATTTTGAATCAAAGAATTTCATACAAAGTTCCATCCAGGCCCGTTTAAAGGAATAGTATTTGAAAATATATAGCAATTTATATTGATGTTGCAATAAGAGATGTAACAAAATTATTCCGATATTTGCATTAACATAAAAGAAAATATAAAGCACTTGATATTTTTGCTAAAAACTAACGAATTGTGGATTGAAGATTTAAAATAAAAAGATGATGGATATCCTAGAAAGTGTGTACGAAAGATAAAGGACCTCATAAACACCGCTTAAAAGTTCTATAAAAGTTTAAGTTACGTACAGATTTTATAATTTATTAGGACATAAGTCATGTAAAATAGCAAGTGTTGTTCGTAAGTGTATTAATTAATATAATATTAAAATAATCATGTTTTCTGATTGTACATAAAAGGAAATTAAATTGAAGGATGTGAAAAGAAAAAATGTTTTTATTATCGAGAATTAACTGAAAGTGAATATTGAAAATGATGAGAAAGTCATACAAAAAATCTATTTTTTATGTTTCGCGTTTCTGGCTAAAATGCAAAGTTAAAATAACAAAATTTTCTTTAATTTCCCAAAGAACTTTATTTAAAAAAAAGCTATTATGAAAATTTTTATATTTTATATCTACATATTTTTTTGGTGAATCAATTTGCGATTTTTTATGGTTTAAAAGATTTCTTTTTTCTTCGTTGTTAATCAAATTGATTTTTCATTACATTAATTCTTTTTTCTTAAAAAATATGGGCTGTGCTGAAAAAATTAAATGAAAGAAGTTTTTGATTTGAAAAAAAAAAGTCAAGAATAGATAGGAAAGAATGAAAGATTAAGTCATCATTTTTAAATATATATTTTAATGTAATGCAAAAATACAAAAAAAAACACAATAAAAAATGATTCAATAAAAATTAATTAACATAAATTCATTTAGTTCCATTTTAATTACAGCTTAATTATTTCTTTGTCAAATTATTGTTCATTTGTTTAGCTGCTTTCTTTTGTTGACGCATTTCTTCATCTGTACGTTCTGTATACAGATCCAGATGACGTCCGTTCTTCCACACGAGAACATCAAAGAATACTCCAATTGTTGTCAAACAGAATGCTGTCAAGTTTACATAATATCTAAATAGTTTTTGATCATAAAGCTGACAATTTCCTTTACGACCATTACATTGCTCAGTCCATACTATACATGTCTCATCTATAATACGTCCATAAAGAATTGGACCAGGAATTAAAGCGAATAATGAAACAAGCATAAGAATCAATCCTTGAGTTACACTTTTATCTTTTATAGACACACAACGGAAGTTGAGTAAGATATTTCCAATACGACCAGATGTTCCAAAACAGTTGATGATTGACGAAATCAATGAGAATGCATAAAATCCAAAAGCACAACCTTTCACACATGCTCCAGGAGTCATTTTACCCCAAAATTGATCCTCTTCTGTCTCTTTATCTTTAATTGATCTCCTTGCTCGATCATTTAAACTACTTTCACTATAATCATTATTGATAGTTGTACTGTAACTATCATCATCATATGCTACATCTTCATTTCCATTAGTCACTCCTAAATTATTCTTAAGTAATCCTAAAGTACTTGCTGGTAGATCATTGGAAATACTTTCTGTTGTTGGCTTAAATGCAGCACTAAAATTACTAATGATATTTGATACTTCATATTGATCTACTGTATGATTTGATAAGAAGAATGGTTTTGTAGTGCTTGTTGATAATGATGATAAATGATATTTTGCACAGTCACATTGATAGTATGCCTGAAAAGTTAATGAAATGTTTTATTACTTTCATTTTCAATGTTTATACTTACTTTTCTTTGTTTCGAATACATTCTGCATGATGCAACGCATGGACTGAAAAATGTGTCACCTGTTTCCTCCAAACAAACGGGCGTATAAGGAATACCGGAACAGTAACAGTCGTTATTACATTCTGATGTCAAATTTAATCGTCTGTTTACAATATTTAAAGGAATCTGTCCATCTGCAATAACAACGTAATTTTTTAATCAATAAACTCCATTTAAGGCAATTATGAAGCGATAAGAAAGCAATTGAAAAAGCAATCGACACACTAATCAATTGAGCAAATAATATAATTGCATTGAGTCTGAATGAAACACGTTTTCAAGTTCAATAGAAATTCTGACCTTGAAAATAGCTACATCAGATGCTTACCTGGGCATGTGAGGAATAAATATACGAGCTCTCCAACCATGAACATGATTCCAACAATGACATTCCACATGAGGATTTTTGATGTAGATGGTTTTGCTTTTGTTATAACAATTCCAGACACTAAGAATCCCATGACCATTCCAATAAGTGTAAATGGACCTAAAATATTGACAGTCATAGAATTAGCACTTGAATGACACAAGTTTCATTGACTTTTCACCTGTTATAATTGTAGCATCAGCAGCACTTTTATGGAATTGCACTTCAAGATATTTACTCATGTATGTAAAATATGCGGAAGCTCCCAATATGTAGAAAATTCCACTTAAGGTATTATACATTAAAAGCTTATTTTTAAAAAGTCTTATTAAGGTTGAAGGAAGAGTCTCGATTGGAGGAATATCAGTCAAACTTCTAAAATCATTTATGCTTCCGAAATACTGCTCAGCATGTGGTTGATTGTGTCTTAAGGGCAATGAATCTTCATAGAATGCATCTTCTTTTGACTTCATCATTTTTGGCGTTTCGTCCGAATCTCTGCATAAAGTTATTGAATGGACTAAGGAATAAGCTGTACATTTGGTTATTTATTTGTTCTTACCTCAGCCTTTCTTCATCCTTCGACGGCTTCTTCGGTAATTCTTTTGGAAACAGGCCAATTAAAACAGCAACAATCATCAGAGCAATTCCAATAAACACCCAACCTGATTTCAAAAAAAATTGTCGTAATTAAGTTCATAAATCATTGATAGATGCACAACATACCTAACCAGTAAGCACCCTAAATATGGAAAGAAAAATTAAACGACGATTAATCAAGGCTAGATTTGAACTTCTAAGTGATAAGCATCATAAGTGATATGTCAAGTAAGTTAAACAATAATTACCATCCATCGAGGATCGGTGGAATCTATAAGTGGCGTCTTTGTAGGATCGATATAGATTTTCAAACAAGCATATCCAATAACAAAGCCAACAGCTGGTCCGAAAGTACTAGATAACACATATTTATATTATCAGCAATTGAGTTAAATTATCAGTTGATGAACTCGATTATTAACACTTTAAATAACAAACAAGCTTACCGTAATGAGAATGCATAAGCAAGTAAAATTGGCGTATTTTTCTTCTTGGTAACTCCATCATCCAAATAAGTTTGTCCTAATGCATAAAATAAGGTATTTCCAACACCCAAAACGAATTGAGATAAGAAGATTAAAATTAATGGAAGCATAGTTTTGATCTCGTCATCACATTGTTGATCACTTGGTTCATCGATACACAGCCGATTTGACCTACGTTCCATTTTTATTTTCTCCGAGTCATCAAGCTATTGATTAGAGTTCAAGATTATATGTTGAAAAAATAAATAAATTAAGCTCAAACTTACTGTAACATTTGATGATTCCATATATTCTTTAGTAAGTTTAAGTGCATCATCACCAGCACCATAAAGAAAATGTGGCATTGCGAGGATAAAGCAACTGATTGAGCAGAAAACAACACCAATGGAGATAAAACGTGGTCGATTACTTTTTCCTCCAATATAAGCGAGTATGACACTCAATAATATTTGTGAGATTTCATTCCCGGATAATATTAATCCTGCAATGTGATTTATTGAGTTTAGCAGTCACATGCAACAGAAGCATGTTTAACTCACCTGTTGTTTGACTCGGAATTTTAAATCTTTTCTCGATCGTCGGCAGTGTTATCACAAGATAGATGTATCCCATAGCTTGAAAAATTCCAAGTAATCCATAAACAGCTATGAATGATCTTGTGTTGGCAAATCGTTGCAAAAACTGGGGATACCAATTGAACATCCCACATAGTGTATTTTGTTTTGCCATCTTTGAACTGTGGACACAAAAATAAATTAAACTTAGAGATTGTTCTTTAACTGCATGTGTTTCCTTTCAATTCCAAAAACGGAGTGGCAAAAACAAAACATTCAAGATATTTTATATTTGCTATCAGGAATTATCAGCGATTGATAAATATATTTATCTCATTCCTATTGAATCTACTTTTACTGGTATTTATCGTCTTTGTGCTGTTATCGTTTACAATAAGTCTTACATTGATTATTATGGCCTTGATTACTGTTTCATTAATTTAGAGTTTCGATACAGACTAACATTTCATATCAGTAAGTATGACTCTTGAAAATGTTTACGACTTTCAACACACTTTTCAGTCACTTGTGTTAAGAATGCTTCAATAGGTCAAAATAGATGTCAAGATTTTGAAGAATTTGAGTTCAATTGCCTTTCATATTGAGAGAATCAAATTGTTTCTAAGAGTGCATGTTTTGATTTATTGATAACAAAACTGATGCTTAATAATGCTGAATCAAACTAGACAAGATGGCTAGTTGATTTATTGCAATACTTAATGGCTAGAACACACAGCTTCTTGGATTAAATCTTTTCAGACTTTCTTAAATTAAAAACTAGTTTTAGGAAACATCCTTCATTCTAGTTGTACTTCAAAACTACAAAGCTTTTCGATCGGAAACTTGTCATCATATCGAGCACTTTGATTAGGTAATATTCACAAAACATAGGAAGCACTTGTCTTCAAGGAGTTTGAAACAGATTGCAATCGATTGTTTTATCTTCTTTGATACTTCCCATAAGTAAGGAGATAGCTGGATTGCGCTATTAACCTAATGAAATATCCATGGCTACACGCGTGACCCCACTTAAACATTGAGTTCATGATTTATCTCTCGAACTTATTTCTTGGGAAACTTTCATCTTGGGTATTTTTGTCCATTATCAAGAATGAAAGCTGATATTTCCAACTTAATAACTAAAATAATCTTTAAAGCTTTTCAATCGTCCCATGTCCAATGAATGATGAAAGAAATTTTAATTGGCAATTCCTTATCACTTTGAAAGAATTTACATCACATAACAAAATTCCTTTGATGTCACTTTTTCTTATTCTTTCGAGTCTAGCACACAAATGTTCGTTATCATTAAGGAATTTGTATCATCGTGTTTATTAAATATTACCCATTAATTGATAATTGAGGGTAATCAAAACATGACCTCTTCCTTTCTTTTAAATTATTATGCGATGTCACTTTTGTTTTAAACAAAATGTTTCAAAGAATTTCGCTGATAATTCTTATCGCCTTAATTTAATAAATTGTAACTTTAAATCAGAACCTTTTCTCAATTTTTTTTAGAAATCGTCCAAACACTCCGACTGTCCACACTCAACTGATTTTTGGAGTCAATAGAACATTTTATGAGAGAGAAGCTGATTTAAGTCAATCTTCAGAAATATGAAAAGGAAAAAATTTTCACTGATAAACGTGTAAACACATATTAATGATCATATAGCTTGTTTCTGAGCTTTTAGGCTATAAAATCATTCTGAAATGCACTATGATTAGATTAGGTTATGCTATCTTATTTTAGATAAGAACAGATAAAGGTGAAGTTCTGATAAAATAACAGTTGGGTTGTGGCTATGAAAGTATCAAGACATACAGCACAACTTTTCTGTCAACATTTCATAATTTAAATTAATTAAATTGACTAAAATTAAAGTTTCCGGAAAGCTAAGTGAAAATCTATTAAGAAATGATTCGGCCCTCTTCACTTTATCGTTCAGATTCGCGAAGACAGCCTGCATTAGAAGCTAATGCTAATAACATTACTGAAGGTTCATTTCATACACTAATTGTCTGATAAAGTTTTATTTACCTGACACAAAATGAAATCATAATTTTTGTAGATTCTATTGACTGTGGTATAGTCGCTTTGGGCTGTTGTAATTCTCCGAAATGCCAGAAAATGGGAAACAAGAGAACCTTTACAATCATCTTAGTGCTATGCGGAGTAATTCAAGGAGCAATTGAGTCATATTTTCGTTTATCTGCCAAACAATCAGCATTGACTCATGACTATGATCCAAGAATCATTGGTATGATGAATGTGTTAGTGACTTATGATAAAAAAGCATGTCCAATAAAAATATTTTGTTTTTTTTTTCTCTAGATTGGTTGATAGTCACAAGTGGAATTTGTCAAGGAATTTTTGCAATAATTATTGCTTATTGGGGAAATAGGATTCACCGTACAGGATGGCTTGGTGGACTTTTCATGATTCAGTCCTTTTTGTGTATTTTAATTGTGATTCCAACTCTTGTTCATCAGTAAGGATTATTTTTATGACACGCACGTGCGTTTAATGACATCATTTTGTTTTAGTTCTGATGAAAATAACACAATTGGCGCGATCGAGCTTTCAATGTTATGCGTTCGTCAGAGATTAGAGAATTTGACAGTTACTGATTTACACAGCTCAACGACATTAATTCTTTTATTTGTATTACAATTTGGAATTGGATTAGGAATTATCGCATTTTATTCACTTGGATTCAGCTATTTAGATGATAATGTTCATGAACATGAATCACCTGGGCTTATTGCAGCCGCACTAGCTGCAAGGTTTTGGGGAACACAACTAGGATCTTTAGTATCGTTGATGGTTGGATGGTCTTCGTTTGGCTGGTTTTTAGGATGGATCATTTTGGCGCCAATTTTATTCATCATTGGATTTTTAGCAGTAATGTTTCCAAAAAGACTATTAAGTACCGTCGTGAGACAAGCTGCTAATAATATTCTAGAAAGTTCTTCCAATTCAGTACATGCTACACTATCAAATGCAAAATTCCTAGCTGATGTAGATTTCTTTCCTTCATTTGTTCGCGTATTCAGGAACAAAATTGTCATATTTAATATCTTTGCTGCAGTCTTCATACAGACAGGAATGATTAATTTCTTTAGACATGAAACAAATTACTTACAATCAAGATTCTTTATTCCGACAAGTGAAGCGGATGGATTGAATAATGAATGGACTTCACAGCTTGTTGTGAACCTTATGAAACCTCCAATGCTGGCTCTGTCAATTCTTGTATCAGGTTCCTTCATTAATATTATTAATTTACCAATTTTTAATTACTTCCTAATCAACTTTTTAGGTCTAATAATTGCAAAAGCTAATCCGAGTAGTAGGTAAGCATGCTTTAATTTTGATTCCACTTTTTATACTGAACTGTATTAAAGAGAGAATCTGATGCGTTATTTCAATTAAATAAATTGAAAAATTGGCTGAGATGTATAGATAAAGCTCCTATTATTCTCTTTTTTAGAAAAATTGTAATGTGGAATATTTTTGCATGTAGGTATGTACTTCACATATAGCTCTATGATACATAAGATTCAAAGTCTAATTTCAAAACTGTCATTTTAGTCTTGTGGTCATCTTTTTTATTGGTAAGCATAAGATTTTTTGTATGTTGCAAAACTTGACAGCACCCATGCTTATTTGATTCTAGTGTCGATTTTCATAAAATGCGAGCATTCACCACTAGCTGGTTCATATCGAGGAAAAATAATTAAACCATATTGCGCTCATTCTTGTTTATGCTCTGACAACACTCCTTTCTTGCCTGTCTGCCCAGAAAATAGCATTCAAACGTTTTACAGTCCTTGTCATGCTGGATGTGGCGCTGAAATAATGTTAAATAATGTCCGAGTGTTTGGAAACTGTAGCTGTGGAGTTGATATTATGTTACCAATGGCAGATACGATAGCAACAGAAGGAGCATGTAACATGTCCGATTGTCAGCCATATTGGATAGCTTTTCATGGATTAATTATATTGGCTTCTTCTCTTATTGCTTCGACTTTGATTGGAAAGATTATCATATCATTAAGAGCTGTATTACCTCAAGATAAATCGTTGGTAATTGGCTTGGAACTATCGCTTATTGGAATCATAGTCTATGTACCAGGAAAGATGGGATATCGTCTTATAGCAGGTTTGGTACTTTCATGAATTATTTTGACCTGCATTTATTTAAATTAATTGTAGACAAGACATGTCAGTATTTTGCACCTGATGGATTTACATGCTTTCTCCACGAGTCACCATTATTTGGGAACTGGATGAATATTATAACAGCATTACTAATAATTTTGGGTATTATATTTGAAGTAATATTGCTATTCGTTGTGGGTGACTTGTTGCTTTATGGTGATGAGCCTGATGATGTTTATAGGTAATGATCAATTGCTATGACCTTTCCAACCAAATATAATATTTGATACATTTTAGACCAATTGAGATGAATACATATCGAAATGGAGATTCAGTAAATCCACCTGTTGATGACAATCCAACTCCTAATACTGCATTATTACAGCAAATCACTCAAAGTGTTGAACCTGAAAGTTCACCTCTTGGACCTACTTATGCACAAATTCAACGACATAATGCCACTAATAATGAAAATCTTGATTTCCGTTTACAATCACAAAGAAGTGAAAATGGTTCTGTGGCATCTGATTATCGTTCCGTTTCTTCCGGTTATGTTAACTTACCACCTATTACAGTAAGAAGTAATAGCAATCGACCTCAAAGTCCTGAAACAAGTTTTTGATAGAAATAACTAGCAACAATAAAGGATTTATGTTTAAGTTAAATGATAGAATGCTTTATTCATACGTAAATTAAGTTTTATGCATTTAAATATTACTTACCTTGTTGACTAATTTTCTCTTCAGTTTCTTTCCTAGTCTGTAAAATTATTCTTGAATTGATTTCCAAGATAGATTTAGGGACATAATTTTGTGAAAACAAAAATTAATTATGAGAGATGATGAGGATGAAAAAGTCGCAATTAAACAAAAAACAATAAATGAGTGTAAAACAAAATGACTTGTTAGTATGAAACAGCACCAACAGCGAAGACATTTTTTTTTCAGCACGGGAACACTTTTTTTTCTACAGCAAAATACAGCTAACGGCAAAAATCCGATTCTATCCAAAAACAACACCGATTTCCTTTCTCCTATCTCTTCACACCCACTTCCAATCTTCAGTCATTATCCCAAAAAATTCACCAAACACCATGTACTGCGACTGCAACTGTACAGCTAGCTATCAGCTTTAAGAGAAAATTGTCTCCACAGTTTAACAGCAGTAGCAGCATATGTACTGGAATCAGCATGCTTTTGTACTCTTCAATAACACGAAACAGGACATTTATTCACCGCCAAAATATCGGCAACTTCCTGTATGTATGTAAAAGTAGAATATTATTTTTATTATTCTTTCAAAATTGATTTCATAATGGGTAGGTAGGTATATATATTCTTTGACTTAAATTTTAAAGTTTATGTGTGATCTAATCAATAGTAAAGAGAAGATAGGTGAAAATAAAAGGTTTTTCATAGTAAGTTTTTGTTTTATGCTGCATTAATTCTAAAATTACACAAATTGTCTTAAATTGGGAAATAGAAGAGGTTTTTTTTTTCTTGAAAAGCACAACTTTCTCTGTTCTTGAACTAATTTACATTAAAAAAAAAACATATTCTTATTTATATCCAATATATTGATTGTTTAATTAAAAGAAATTTGATTCTTTAGTTGAATTACATTAAGAGAGTTGTTAAGTGACATTCAGAAAAATTTATTTGAAAAGTGCTTAATTATTATCTAAAATAAGTTTATCAAGTATCATATTTCTACCATCAGTATTAACTCGACATTTTTATATAGTAGTAGTATAATATTGAAATAAGGGTTGATTGATAAGAAAAAAAAAATTAATTGAAATACGATTGTACCTTTTCATTCTTTAAACGCATATTCATTTTTTTGTAAGCACTGTTTTGATGATTTGATCAAAAGAAGCTGCTCTAAGCTGACTGTCTGTTTTTATTCACGACTTTGACTGCGATTTCTGCGAACTGGTGAATGTTCACGCGAAGACTTGCTTGCACTGCGACTCTTTGAATTGCTTTCTGATCGTCTTTTGTTGTCACGAGAACGAGATCTTTCTGATCTATCACGACGGCGTTTTTCGTAAGAAGGAGAACGTCGTCTACGATCTCTATCCCTTGATCCACCACGAGAACGCGATCTGTTGCTAAATAAAAGAATAACTTAATTAATGCTCAACTCTGTTTACTAGAGAATCAACAAATCCAAATCATTAAAGACGAACAGATACACTGACAATCCACAAAACTTTATGTAGGCAGTATGTTAAGTGTCTTCTTATATAAATCATTAAGTCAATAATTTCCTTAAACGAATAACTCACCTACGACGACGGTCATAACGTCTTCTTTGCGGAGATGTTGGTCTTCCGTATCTAGCCATTTGTACTCTATAGAAAAAAACAAAACAAATGACGCTTAAAACGTATGCAAATTAGTAAACAAAAAAGTTTATATACCTCAACTCCCTTCCATCAAGTACACGTCCATCCATTTCTTGGAGTGCTTCTTCTGCGTCACGTTTTTCATAGAATCGAACGAAAGCAAATCCTCGACTTTCGCGAGTATGGCTGAAACAGGATTTAAATAAGCAAACTTTGTATGCAAAAAAATAGGAACTAAAGTACTTACCGGTCTCTGGGAATGTATATGTCACCAACTGAGCCACATCGTTCAAAGACTCGTCTAAGGTCCTCGGGTGTAGTGCGATACGTCAAATTATCAACCTAATTGAACAAAATAGAAATTAAAGTAATAAAAAAAAATAAAAAATGGAGGAAAAATGTGCATTTTTTACTTTTAATGAAATCATTCCTTCAATCTTGGGTGGACCGCGAGCAGAATATGACATAATATAGGTAATCTCGTTAGAAACTCTTTTTAATAACACTTGATATTTATTGTTCTTTAGAAACTACTATAGCTAATATTTTTGTATTTTTTGTCACTCACTCAATCGCTTCCTTTGAAAATTTCGACTCTCGACGTTACACACACTTTTGTTCGACGGGGCATGCTTGAAGCGAAAAACCAGTAAAAATATCAGTTCCTGCGAGTCTTGAGCGTATTTTACGAGCACAGATTAGTAAATATAAGATCCAGTTATATCCAATTAACTTCCAGAAACACAAGCAAAGGTTCGAATTCATGTCTAAACCATTTTCATGGAACAGTTATTTGAGAGTCAAATTGACAACGGGTATTTAAAATTTAAAATCATTGAAAAAGAATAGTTTATATAATTAAACAATAACAATGAGTTTAAAATGAACAAAAATTGCTAAAACTTCTATGAATTAGCAGCATTCTAGTGTTAAAATTAACACATTCTATGAGCTTCCATTGCTGAGATTTTACAAATTTGGACAGCCAGCTAAAGTGAAGATAGCCTAGTGTTTCTAAGGAAAAAAAGCTAAAAATCAGAGAACACATTTTTGTGATTAAAATTAAAATTTTTAATTTAACTTTGCTTTCCTTACAGTGAAGTGTTTCCTTTGTTTTTCCAGTCGCTTAATAGATAACGTCGATACAGTTTATCAAAAGTGAAAATGGAAAACGATCAGGATATTCACAAAGTTGTGAACCAATTTTCGACTTTAAATGTTAATGCTGTAGAATTTGTTCCAAGCTTTGTCGTTTCGGCACCAAAAGATATAGAAGAATCAAGTATTGAAGATCCACCGCCTTCAGTCCAAATTAAGCCTGTTGAAACACCAGAGAATAATGGAAATAGTAAGTAATAGAAAAAGTGTAAAATGAATTTAATCACGCAATAAAAAAATTGCCACATCAAATGTCTCAAAGAAATATGTGCTGTACATACCTCTAAAAAAGAAATTTTTGACCTAAATCATCAGTCGACGAAAGAAAGGAAAAATCTCTATAAAGCATCAGATTATGTCCAAGTTTTAACATAGAAATTCTATTTTAATTAATAATAGTTGCTGAAATTGAGCCACTCGATACATGGGATGAGGATGAAACGATTTTGACTCCAGATGGCGAGGAGGAAGTAAGCAAAATTTCTATACTCTTTAAAATGTCACTTAAATGACAATATCTAAATCGTATACTCTAATTTTCCATCCACAAAAATATTGAAGGATATGGAGACAGAAGATGATCCTTTACCAAAACCATCAACAAAAAGAAAACCACCGAAAGTGGAAGAAAGCTGTAGCAAGAAGGAGCATGTGAATGTTGTTTTTATTGGACATGTTGGTATGTTGTTTCTCAAACTTCTTATGAGTCATAAAAGAAAATAATTTATAATAAATACTTATGTAGATGCTGGAAAGTCTACGATTGGAGGTCAAATAATGTCTCTGACTGGCATGGTTGATAAACGTACATTAGAAAAATATGAACGAGAAGCTCGCGAGAAATCTAGAGAAAGCTGGTATCTCTCGTGGGCTTTGGATACAAATCAAGAAGGTAAACTAGTCTACAATTTATTACTACTCTTATTATATAATTAATTATCATGTACAATTACTATTGATAGAGCGAGATAAAGGCAAAACTGTCGAAGTTGGTCGAGCATTCTTTGAGACTGATAGAAAGCACTTTACCATCCTTGATGCTCCTGGACACAAAAGCTTTGTCCCTAATATGATTGGTGGTGCTGCTCAAGCTGATCTAGCAGTTTTGGTAATTATAAGCATGTCATTTACATTTTCACTATAATATTCTTATTATATCTGTGTCTAAAGGTTATTTCCGCCCGAAAAGGAGAGTTCGAGACAGGATTTGATAGGGGAGGTCAAACTCGTGAGCATGCTATGTTGGCAAAAACAGCCGGCGTTAAACACTTGGTAGTTTTAGTCAATAAAATGGATGACCCAACAGTTAACTGGGAAGAAGTGCGCTACAACGAATGTAAAGATAAAATTTTACCATATCTTAAAAAACTTGGGTAAGTTCCCCATTAAATCAATATTTTCTTAAAGCTTTACGTACTCATTGCCACATTATTATTCATAGATTTAAAGCAAAGGACTTGACATTTATGCCGGTATCAGGAATAACGGGACAAGGACTTCGAGATGTTGTCGACAAAAATATGTGTCCGTGGTATGACGGTCCAGCATTCATTCCCTTCATTGATGATCTTCCTTCAATGAATCGCAAAACTGACGGTCCATTCATTATGCCTATTGTCGATAAATATAAGGACATGGGAACTGTAGTAATGGGAAAAGTTGAAAGCGGAGTAGCGAAGAAGGGACAAAATTTGTTGGTGATGCCTAACCGAGTAAGTTACTCTCACTTATTATTTTCGTGTTACAACATGACATTTAATATCATTATTATTATTATTGTAGACTCAAGTAGCAGTCGATCAATTATGGTCTGATGAAGAAGAAGTAACATCAGTAAGTCCTGGTGAAAATGTAAAAATTAAACTCAAAGTAAGTTCATCTGACATGTTAATGCAATATTTATATTTTCTAATCATTGGAACAAATTCTTTAGGGTATCGAGGAAGAGGACGTTTCTCCCGGATTTGTTTTATGCGATGCTTCCAACCCAATCAAAACAGGCAAAATATTCGATGCCCAAGTAGTTATTTTAGAGCATAAATCAATTATCTGTGCAGGATACTCAGCCGTTATGCACATTCATTGCGCAGCTGAAGAAGTCACTGTTAAAGTAAGCTCTAATCTTTATTTTGTTTAAAAATGTATGTTGTGACTAATGAGATTATTTTGTGCTCGTCCAAACAGGCCCTTATTTGTTTAGTAGATAAAAAATCTGGTGACAAATCGAAAACACGACCAAGATTTGTAAAACAAGATCAAGTTGCAATCATGAGAATTGAATGTTCGGGTATGATTTGCTTAGAACAATTTAAGCTCTTCCCACAAATGGGTCGATTTACATTGCGTGACGAAAGTAAGAAACAATGAATTTTACATAAAGAATACTCAATTGATTTTAATGAATTTTTCATTGCAGACAAAACAATCGCCATCGGAAAAGTGTTAAAAGTTATTGAATAAATATTTGCGCTCTTTTACAAGTTACTATAATGGATATAAAAAGAAACATTTTTATACAATTTGCAACAGGAAACACACAAATGAAAAAAAAAAGAAAACAAAAAAATGAAAAATGATATAAAAAAAATCCTTGTAAGCTTACACATCTGAAACGTGAAAAAGTTTTGGCTTTTCAAATCTTCCATTTTTTTCTTCAACAAAGGAATCTCGGACATTCGCGACAGATTTAACGCCTCAATTTCCTCGACAACAAAATTTGTTTATGTTTAAAATGGTTTAATAATTTTCTCGAGTAGTTTTCAGTTGTATGAACAATCTTATTTATATCCCAACAACCTATTATATATATATATATAATTATATACATGAGAACATTTGAGGATGACAAAAATGTTCACGATTTTTCGTAATTCCAAAAAAGAATTGGAAGTTTTGAGAAATCTCAGTAAAAAGTTCTAATGTTAAATAAAGAGAAATTGTGTAAATTGATATGCGATGTAAAAGATCATAAACAGGCATGATAATAATATAATAAATGATGGCATCTTAAGTGATCTTGTAAAGAATAACCAGAGCCTGATATGAATTAAAGTCCTCTGGAAGAACATAATGAATTGTTACATTGCTTTTTGCTTGATGAATCCTTAAAGAATTTTCATTCGTATCGTTTCAAAAAAAAAATTCAATTTCATCTCCCTTATCCTGTTTTCTTTAATATATTTATTAGGAGTGCTTAAGAAAATAACGAATTCCAGAAATTTGAAACCTCATTTTTTCAAGTTAACGGTTTTTCAAAAATTTAAAAATTATACGATACATAATTTTCAACTTTTTAAAAACCGTTAACTTAATTTTGCAGGTAACGGTTTTTAAAATTTGAAAATTACACAAAGAAAAGAAAATGAGGTTTCAAATTTGTGAAATTCGTTATTTCGATAAACTCTCATTTATTAGTTTAAATCAAAAACCTAAACTTTTTTATGTTTTATAATTTCTTAATTATGGCAAACAAAAAACTTTACTGCGTGTACAATGCTTCTATGCCATTTTATGAAAATATGAGGAATAACAAAAAAATTCTTATTTAAATTTTAAAAATATTTTGATTAGCTACATAAACTGATAAGTTAATAGGCTGATTTCTCAAAAGTATGTGATTATTCCTTACTGGCATTTGTTTCTTCTAGACAACCGCACATAATTACATGCTTATGTGAAGTCAGTCGACTAATAATTTGTTTCAAAAATAAATAAAAAAATCGAAATTTTCTTCTGAATTATTTTTTTTTCAATTAACTGATGAAAAGATCGTTAGCAATAATAATTTTTCGCATCATCGCAAATAAAGAAAAAGGGAAAAAAATGATTAAAATGATAAAAAATTTGCTTTACTCTCCTTTATATATACATTTATGTCCACATACATTTATACTATAATCATTAAGTTTTTTGTTAGCAATCTTAAAAATTCTCTTGGATAAAAAAATATTATGTCATGTCATTTTAAAATGAAGAAAATTTTGATTTAAAAATTATTCAAAAAAAAAAGTTCTTGAAAGCATGACGATAATAATAAAGCAAAATGATTTAATATCATTAAAAACTATCCCCACAAATTTCTTGATTTTTACTTTATTTCAGGTTATATCTTCATTTTCAGTTCAGCAAATATTCTAGTAAATTGATACCAAGTTCGGAGTTTCTTTGCTACTGCTTTACAATTTTAAAAGTCATCAAATTTGAGGTTTTAAGACATTTTACAGATTAGACACCCCCCCCCCCCCCCCCTACACCCCTAAAAAACCAATACAAATTTTGTGAGCCCCTAAGAATTATTGGGATTGGGTAAGCTGAAATCTGACTCCGAATCTGACCAAATGTGCCGGGATATATACTTGAAAGGATAGATTAAAAGCCTATCGAAACAACCTTGCCTGGAGGGTGGCAGCCCGACAATCAGGCTAGGGATGGTAAGGTTTACAACCTACCATATCCAAAATGACAAAATTTGCTACAGAGTCAGATGAAAAACCTTTCGTTTCAACCTAAGCTACACATAGGAACATTGTTACAGTAAGTAAGCGAGTAAGAAAATTTTGCTTATTTATCTTTCCTACCAAACTCCTATTCCTTACTATGAAGTTTCTTCATTTTTTCTTTATCTTATAAAATCGTGAAGTTTTAAAAAAATTAATTCTCTTATCAGCTCTAAGCATGGCTCAACAAAAAATAATTGATTAAGTTGAACTCTAATGCTTCCCAAACATTCCATATTTGTCTCAAAATAAATCTCCAACCACAGAAATCTAAAATTATTGTTGGAGTGAATAGCAAAAAAAAAATCATATGCACATGCTGAACATGATTAAAACTGCATAACCAGTTTTCTTCTTATTTCTCTTTTGACGTATATTTTTTCTAATATTTTATAATAGAGCTTCATAATATATAAAGTTAGATATGTTTTTCATTTCTGCACATTTTGCCTTTGCTGCTATTTCTAATACACGTACGAAAATACATAAAAAGAAAAAAATTAGAAAAAAAATACATAAAGCGTAAAACACGACAAAATGAGCAGCATCAAAAAAACATAGTCAGTCATACCAAAACAAAATGTGTAGCTCTTACTCACTTATCTGACTTTTAGACCAAAACATTAAGCATGACACATTGTCAAAGTACAATCATATTGAATGAATTTCGAATCTATAGCTGCACTTTAAATGCATGACAGTCAGAACAGAAAGAAAGTGCACCACTATTCATATATGAACGATAGTAAAGTTCTCATGCAAAAGAGAAGTGTTTCTAGCAATAAGGACATTGAACTACATGATTTTCTATATGCGGAAGAAAATATATAATGCACACATACATAATGTACATTTGAGATTACTTTACGTGATGCGAAATGTGGAATTGTACAACTTCCATTTCATGAGACTCTAATAGAACGCATTAGAAAAACATCGTCGAAATAAAAATAAAACGCACAGTGAGCACATGGCTACGGTTACGTTTACATGAAAACAGCTGTTTTTCACATTGTGGATGTATAATCCACAATAAAAGAAATAAAAAACATAATAATATAATGTACACTAAACATTGATGTGTGTAGCATTAACACACCGTCCGTGGATATAGCACAGAGCGCGATGCAGCAATACATCTCACGAGTATTAGAAGTAAAAAAGTATATGTATACATGGATAGAAACGAAGCACATCTCACAAAATAGAGAGTGGAGTTTGGAAATCCTAAAAAGAACTGCCACGCATTCATGTTCTCCTAATACGGATTTGATTAAGAATTTGAATTCTTTGTATAACTCTCAAACTTTGCAAATCTAAATCCTCGCATCTAAGCAATTTCTAATGGCTTTTTATGTAGATTTATGATGATATAGATGTCGCAGTGTGAAGGAAAAAAAAACTATAAAGTTTAAAAATTGTTTGTGCATAACACTCGGTATCTAATGCTTCACACTTTCATGCTTTCCTGTTCAATTCCTTTGTTTCATTGCTGTATTTTTAAGAAATCCTCCCTTCTATACATTAATTTATTTTTTTGTAGAGCAAAAGAGACTTTTAAATCCCTATGAGAAATAAATCCTGTTACAAAAAAAGAAGCAGCAATAGAATATTGAGCATTAATAGCTCAGAAAAGGTTATAAGCTGTTTAATAGGATTAAGTTGATATGAAACTTTAATTTCTACGCTGCTTTAAAAACTATTTCTTCTTCTTCATTTGAAAACATCAAGCGAACAAAAAAAGAAGAAATTTCAGCTTATTCTTTAAGTTGCATTCACGAATGTATATGCTTCAGGCCATACGAACAAGTAAAAACGCTGAAAACGAAGAATAACAGGCAAGCATGAAGAGAAAACATTGAAAAGTATTTACTGTAAAACAGTGTGGTTCACTTTTTTGCTTCTTGCCGCTTCTTGCTTTAAGTCACTTTTTCCATAAATAAAATATATAAAAACTTATACTAAACTACACACGTCTCTGCTTGCCTGATATTTATGTCTGATTTCAACAAATTTTTTGAACAAAGACGGATAATTTTTCTTTGTCATTTGAAGGAGAAATAAAGGCAGAAAGGGAAATTTTTATCACGACGACTTATTATAGTATTTTATGTGAAACTTCAGTTCCTGCTTGATAAATATTTATTATTGTGACATCAAATTTAAAACCTGTTGAAGCTTCATGTGTAAATGGTGGATATTAAAGGTTTATAAATCATGGATAATTTAATTATGTGCTGTATTTTTCAGAAGGGATATTAATCGGTTCTTCAATAATAATAAAATTGCAAAGTCAAAAAGCTATTCAATCTGATATGGAAGCAAATTGTTGCATTTATGCGTCGCATTTATAAGAATGCGGGTTCGATTCCCTCTTGCTACATGATTAATTGATAATTAGAAACCGAGGCTCCCGCAGATTATAATCTTTAAATAATCTCATAAAAAGATTATAATCTTCAATAATCTTTGTATTAAAGATTATTATCTTTTCTCTTTTGAAGGTTATAATCTTCATACAAAAATTATAATCTTTAATAATCTTACAAAGATTATAATCTTCGTTTTTAAAAGATTATAATCTGCGGGAACCTTATTTGAAACAGAATCTAGTAAAACTTTTTTGACAGTTTAAATATCTTCAATAAAGAGAAAAAAATCGTTTTGAACTAAAGGAACTTACCAACCGATCAGCAATTTTTGAAATAACTTGAAAAAATAACCAAATTAAACACAAACTAGACACAGTTTTAAAGACAATTCACTTTTTAATGGATACGTAATTATTGATATGCAACAATAAAAGAAATTTTGATTTCAATTTTTCTGGTTATTATGATTTATGTTATTAATATTGCTTTCAATCTTCACGAAGAATTACATACACCTTCATAAACAAGGCATAAAGAACCTAAGCTGAACAACAATGATGCGATTTGTTGCAACCTGGTTGCAACTTTAACTCAGTGATTCTCAAAATTTCAGGACAATTTTGTATTGAATAAGCAATCTAATTGTTGAAAATATTGCTGAATCTTATAAATTACTTCCTAGAATGTTAAGATTGAACAGATGTAACTTCAATTTGTAAAGCAGCTCAAATGTCTATAAAGATCTGTAAAGCTGAAAAAGATTCATAAACCATATACCCTGTTTTTTCGTTATAAGCTAGTACTATAGTAAAATAAAAACGTGAATTTTTTGATCACTAGTATTTTAGTAACGAGTAGTAGCTTCTAACGAAAAAGCAGGGTAATTAAAGACTTTCGAGTCCAATATTATCCAAACTGTGTGCATAAAAATTCAGAAAATGCTACGAATTGCATGCTGTGTGCCGATTCAGCTATCGACAACCACATTTCTGAAGAAAATTTTGCTGAACTTTTCACTTTAGACTTTCATGTGTTGCCGCACAAAGTTTGAAAACCACTGATAAATCACATTAATGTTTTTGAGATAATCTATAACCTGAAATTAGAAAAATTAAAACCTGAAACAAAATCAAGACACATTAGATCCAATAAAACAATGTCTAATCTTCCGTTTTTTACTCATATTCAATTTATTTTTCTTCATCTTTTTGTTTATTTCTAACATTAATTATTTTTCTTCTTAGTTATTTTTGTAAGCATTATAATGTTTTTTATGAATGAAAAGGTATACAAAGTTGTTGTGTTTAATTTGTGTGAAATTTTTTTAATCTTTTTTGAATCATTTCTTATGTTTATATATTTTTTTAAAAAGGTTTCGACCAAATCATCAAGAGTTATTTTATTTCTGCAGGCAATTTTTACTTTAAAATCAGTGATGCTTTCAAGTTTATTATGCTTATATGGTTAAGTGATTATAATCAGGGGAAGTTTCATTGTTTAAACATCCAATCGCGAGAAAAACTTACAAAATCATCTTTAACAGCAGACACAAAGGTTGTCTACTTAAAAATCCTTCTTTATACAGCCTGAATATGATCATTTAAACATTTAAGCATAATGTCTGATTCAACAGCACTGCCAAAAATAAAAGAAAATCAAAGAGACTGTTTTTCTGTTAATTTATATTTGTGGCAAGAGTTATTTAACCTTTCCTTCATACACGCTTATTTCATTTCATTGTAAAGTTGCAAACTTCATGAGACTTTCTTATCTAAGTATGTTTGAGTCTCACGACGAGCAGCAATCCTCAATTTTTTAATATAATTATTATTTTTTTTTTCTTTATTACTTCATTAATTCATTAATTGATAAGTTGAAAACCTGCAATTTAGAGATCAATTAAAGAACTAAATGTCGATCAAATTGTTAATTTGTACTTTCTAGTTTAATTCACTTTGAAATTTTTTTTAAACTTTCTCATTTTCATCATTTCTTTTAATTTCTACATTATAAAAAAATATGATTCTTAATGTAATGTATGTGTTTATTTCTCCAGAAGTTCTTAATGAGTTTAAAAACATTTTGCATTTCTCGTGGAACGCTAGCACAAAAATTTCATGTAATCCATTTAAAGCTTATGACTGACAAATAAAGGTTGAATTTAGCTTCAAACGTCACACTTTCATTGCCACATTAATCTCAGTAAATATGAAATGCAAAATTAATTAAATCATCACACTCCTCGCTAATGTGAGTCAAAGTTGAATCACAAATTATCATACATATTTCTCATTTTCCTTCACAAAAAGCTTTCTTTCATCGTTCATCGTTATCTCATTCATAATTTCAATTTATGCAAAATATTGGCAAATTTTCGTTTTTGTTGAAAGCTGATTTAATTTGTTTTCTTATTCTTAGCTTTGAATGGCACCCAAAAAAATTAGCTACAAAAAAAAATCATTTAAATTCAAACTGATAAGATTCAAATGAAGTTGAATGGTGGTACTTGATTAAAAGAAAAGGATGTAAAACTGATCAAAAATAATCAAATTTGATTATAAATGATCTAAAATGATCGAAATCCAATTTGTCAGTTCCGCACATTAAACAATGTTGCAGGCTTAGAATGATTTTTGTAGCTATTTTTTTACAGCACCACTCGAGCTCATTCTTTTAAAAAAGTAAATTTTCATTCTTAAAAAAGAAGTGTTTCCATTGTTTCCATTAAAAAGGACGACTTTCTCATCAACAATAAAAGAAAAGGAAAAAAATCAAATCAAATTAAATTGATTTAAATTCTAAATGGAAGAGAGAAGAATTACAAAAAAAAGTACCTTTTACTTATAAGCTCGATACTCTATCTAATGTGTGTTTCATAAAAAATCAAGTTTTAAGTAAGAGATGTAGCATGATAACATTTCATATGTCCCTACTTTTCCCATCTTCCTCGTTATTAGTTTTAAATGTATTTGTTCCTCTCAAAATTCTCACAAGAAGAATCAATTGAGAAATAAGCTTTCATACCAATTTGTACTCTTAAAAATATTTAAATTATTTTTCATTTTCTTGAAAAATTTGTTATTCTGGAAAGGAAGAATTAAATTTTTCATGATTATTATTTTTCTTTTTGTAACAAAAAAGAAAAAGCCTCGAGAAAATGCTAAATTGTTGAATCATCATAATTTCTACATTTTAACCAATATTATTGAAAATATTTCAGGAACATCGTTTTTTTTTGTTTTCTTCTTAATTATGAAAATTTTAATAATAATGAACCAGAATGATTCAAATGCACGTGCTGTACTTATGGCAATAAGCAGTTTGATTTCTTTAAATTAAGCATTTGCTAAAATCATTCAATTTTAATTTCATTCTAAAACGAACAAATCATATTATTGTGGAAAATTTATTAGTCTGACTCGTATTAGGCAGTAAAGTTTGTCCTGAACCAGAGTTGCGAGCCTATCAACAGGCACAAGTGACAGATCTGTCTATCAACAGGTATCAATATTTTTTTGACAGATATGACTGATCTGTTCCAGTGAAAGGCAAAAATATATTACCTGTCGACGGGTAGTGCCTAATGAGAAGCCAGGCAATGACAGATCGCAACTCTGTCCAGAACGACATAAAAATCACTTCATTATTCAACTTTCACAATCCTTATTAATTTAAAACAAATCTTTAGGTACAAGAAAAGGATTTTTGATTGCTACCTTGATGCCGGACATGCGGCACAGAAAAGCAAATTAAGTGTCTGTGAAGTACGCGAAAGGAAAGAAAACAAGTGATTCACTTTTACATTGAACTTTTTTTAAGCTCGGCTGAACATAGTTTCTTAAACAATGTTCGGACATTTTTGGTAATTTTTCATCATGTCAAGTAAATACTATTAAAGAAATTAAATTGCACGTGCATTATGAATCATCAGTTTAACGGCATATGTAAGTTAGAATGAGAAACCATATTCATAGTTCAGACCGGATGAGATTTAATAATCATCACAAATATGTTGATTCTCCTGTAAAAATAAATTTAAATTGTTTTTTTGAAGGATGGAATTTTTCTTTTTTTGTAATAACTTTCAAAACAAGAACTAAATAGGTACAACTGTATCTGATAAAACATTCAGTGAATTAAATTACTTTGCGAATTGAAAAATACATCGCAATCCATCACCATTAATTAATATTCTTTCACTTTTGAATGCTAGGGGAGGGGAAAAATAAAATTATTATTTTTTATACAATAGAAGGAAGATCATGCACAATTTTAAGACATACATAGGAGATTGTTTTTGATTTTCAAATTACATAAAACATTTTATGAGTTAGGCAATAAAAATAGAAGAAAAGTAAAGTTTTGTAATCTTAGGGGTTGTTCAAATAAACCAGTGTTGTCCAAACTTATTGAGCCACGGCACATCTTATGGGTAAGCTTCGTACACAACATGCGGCTCGTGTCATTCCCAAAATTTTTCTTCGGCACACAGTTTGGACAACACTGATAATAAATTTTTTTTTCTTTTCCTCAACCCCCCCCCCCCCCCAAAAAAAAATTTATGAACGACCCCCTTTTCTAAAAGAGCCAAAAAAAACCATCATTAATTAATAATTTCCATTGTTTCTGCCAAATAAAAAAAATCTATTTTTTGATTGTGATGCCAATGAGCAGTACCTGCTCGAAGTAGACTCAGATTGTGTATAAAACATACAAAATTCTAGTCAACTTCTGGAGTTTTTTAAAAATTGATTGGACCATATTTTTTTTTGTGTACAAACATTAAGAACTCCAATCATTTTTTTCATCTCAACTATTTTAAAGTTCATTTCGAGAAAAAATTTAAAAATAAAATATATCATTTTGCAGGACATTAGGCTTATTGTAAAAGGAAAATTTACTTTTTTTTTATGTTTGAATCGTGTTATTATTTCTATTTTGTGACTTTTTATCATTATTCGTGCATACAGAATTATGTTGATCCTTCATATTATTTTTTGGCATATCCAAATCGGATGAAGACTCTTCATTATGAGATGACTGTTGTTGCTGTTGTTGATGTGACGATTGAATTGAATGATTTGATATTGTCGTTTTTAGCAAGTTTGATATTTCGGGCTCCGATAATAACCTATAACGCACTAAACTTTCTGTATAATTTCAATTATATGAGCACAAGACATAATGAAATAATGAGGTAAGTAGGCATGAAAAAAAAAGAGGGAGAGAGAGAGAGAAAGAAGAAGACACATTATTTGTGGGAAAACAAGAACAAATCTTTTTTTTAAGTTGTATAATATTCTTCAATAAAAAAATTGTATGTGTGAATGTCAAGTAGTGCACAAAAACAAAATTGCAATACTTAAACCAAAAGTACGATAAACTTTAAAAAGGAAATTTGTTAAAAAAAAATGCACAGAAACATAGCAAAAAGTGTGAACAATAATAAATATTCTACAACTTTTAACTTACTTAAGTTGTATTCATTTGTACATTTGTCTAAATGTTGCATGTTCTTTAATTAATTCAAAAACTTTACAATAAAACAAATATTCATGTACATTAATTCTATAACTATTAATAGCTCTTTTCATACTTTAAACAAAAAGAATTATTAATGAATCTTCTTCATTAACGTCCTTTAAAGAAAACTTACACAAAAAAACACTTTCAAATATTAAATAGTGTCACTCCAGAAAATCCTAAAAGTTAATTCATTTCAAAGAGATGGAAATTTTGTGAATATATTAAAGATCTATTGTGCTGAATGTGATTTGAAGCTTTTAATGGAATATTCTACAGTGAAAATTGTTTAAACAGTCTCTGAATATTTGATAAAGTTTCATCAGCATAAGCAGGTGATTTGTTGATCTACCAACGATTCAAATAACTTTCAGATGGTGTCGTTCACTTATGACGTCCGAAATTGTTCAAAATATGTCAAATGTCGTTTAATATTTAAATTGTATTTGCAACTAGAATTGGTTGTTTTCTCTTTGTAAAGTTCTTAGCCCCTTTATACAAATATTAAGTCTGTTTTTGAACTCAGAACATCCTTAGCCACCTGAACGTCAAAAGTGAACAGCCAAAAACGATTAATGTGAATATCATTTAAATCAGGGTCTTTTATGATTGTGACACCAATATTGAGTACGTGCAAAATAAATTTCTACTTCTAAGACTATTCCCTTAATTTTGAAAAGATTTGAATTTCATGAAAAATCGTCAATAAATCACATAAAAATTTAGATCGGTTCATCTTGAAATGGCAACACTTTTAGTGAAATTCTGGTCACAGCCGATAAGTTTTGGAAATTAACAACACATCAAAAAAAAAAATCATCATTCAATTAAATCATAAACTAAGTTAGATTGTATCATAAGGTACAATGTAATTTCTTCTAAACATAAGCAATGCCGTCGTGCATTTATTTTCTATAGTTCTTTTCATATTTAGTATGGCAGTAGTTTCTTGAATTTATAGAACTATTACAAAATAATAAATTTTTCTTGGTTTTTTTTAAAACAAAAAATAATTAAAAATCATGCTTAATAAGGTCAACAACAAATATATATAATATATAGCATAAACATATCAAATGTGATCTATATTACATTAAAAATACAAAAAATTTCGAATGTTAAGGAAAAGGGATTGTGGTCGATGATTTGAATCAAGACACACAAAAAATGATGCTTTAAACTTATTTCATACTGCTAATTTGAAACAAACACAAAAAATGTTTATTAAACTAAGTAGAATCCCTTCGTTTACTACTTGCGCCTTTAAGGAAATTATAAGAAAGCACAATTCCACTTGACATTCTACGGCGCGTATTATTAAAGAATGAACGAGCAAAATTACTGCTAGTTGTGCTTTGCAAATTGTTCATCATATCATCATTATTTTCGAAATCACTCACGCCATCGGTCATCTCAGAATCATGATCATCGTCAAATGTATAACTCGAAGGCCGTAATGAATGTGATAAATTGTTGGAAAAATCATCATCATCTATATTATTAGATGGCAATATGCTGCGATTACATGCTGTTGGCTCATCATCATCTTCTGTTTTGTTAGCTGTATTTTGGATATTTATATTAAATTTATTAAAATTACTGCTCATATTCAAAACATAATTGATTTTTTTTTTCATATTGTGTATGTGATTTGATACTTGATGAGATTTTAATTTTAAACGGTTTTGGATGATAAGACAAGAATAATAAATTTTTTATGAGCGAGAATTAAAAACTTTTCATGTTTTTCAATGAGTTAAAGGACAGAAGTATGAGGAAACAAATTATAATCCCATCCATGACTTGTATGGAACAAAAAGAGATGTCATCGATTTAACAATTATAACGAAACACTTTAAATTTATCAGCAAACTCTTTCTTACATAATTGTGAAAGTGTCTTTTCGGCAGAAAATCTATTTTTAAAGCTTAGGTATGGAAATCAAGGGTGTGGTGCTGATGAAATGATCAAAAATGATCAAAATGTAATTCTTCAGTTCCACACCCTTGATGGAAATTTTATTGCCAACTTCATAAGTTTTCAACTTTATTCTGTTGGATTTAAATCAAAGCCAGCACCAAGCCAGATTTTTATTTCAAAAGAACGTTGCAAGTTTCTAAAGAGACCTAAATTTGATTTGAGATTCAAGGAATTGAAAATATCTAGTTTGACACATTTTAATGTATTTATCATGAAAGACTAGTAATTGTGAATGACATGATTAATCTTTGAATGTGCTTAAAAATTCATTTAAAGTTCTTCATATCCAAATGATTGAAAGCTCTTCGATTCTACAGCTTTAGTTCGAATCTTTTGTTTGACAAATTTTATGAGTTGAAAAAAGTTTTGATTTTACTTTCTATTTTAGTCACCAAACAAAATTGTTCTATCTTGAATTCTACAAAGATCCGTCAACTAAAATTATAATGAACTGCTCTAGCTAAATTTAACTCGAGAACAATTTCATAATTTATCATACTCAATAATAAGAAGAGAAACAAAATGTTATTTTTGAAAAGTCATGTCATGAACGGTTATTGAACTAGTCAGTCAGCTCATAATCCATTCAAAATCTTTCACAATATGTAAGCGTAAAAAAATGTGCGTGAAATGTATGAATTATACCCAAAAAAACACCAAAAAGGAGAGGAAACATAAATGAGACATGATGACAAGTTGATATGATTAATGAATTAAAATTTTGCTTCTTATTAATTCACAATAAGATTTAAGCATTCATGATAACATCAAAGAAACTTTTTCACATACAAATAAAATGTTGGAAATAAAAATGAATTTTTTTTATTATTGCAAAATTTAATTTTAGACTATTAACATTTTTTTCTTCTTCTTTGATATCTCTACTTAGTAGTTCATCCACTAAACATAATTTTTTGTGTGTGCACTGGAAGTCACCATTCTAAAGCAATTCATTCTATATATGCATGATATTTCGTTATTCACAGCCTTCACGAAATTTTTTAAGTGTCAAAAGTTCACGTCTAACTTTATCGAAATTTTCAGTTATCTCCCCCAAAGCTGAACATTCTTTATTACTTGAAATATGGCAAATTGAATTTGATGATTGACTCAGCGGCGACTGTTTACTTTCCGGTGTTTTAATATTATTATTATTACTACTTCCACGTCTTTGAAATAAAGAACCAAATCGAATCATTAAGGACGATATTGGATCTGGTGACCTTTCATCAAGATCTTTCGTTATAACCTCTTTTTTACATGCTTCCGGAACATGTAAATCAGAGCGACTTCTTGAAGATGTCTTTTGATGTGCACATGATTTTGAATGTGCTTTATTTTTTGCATCCATTTGATAAGTTGATGAAAGTCTTCTAAATGAGCTCTTCTTTGATATTGGCTCTGACATTCTCTTTCTTAAACATTTCGTTCGATTTTTGATTTTTAACATTTTATGATTTAGTTTCTGTTTCAATTCACATTGAAACTTGTCAAGCGAACCTATATAGTGATGTATAGCTTATTTTAATGATTCAACAATAAAAAATTAAAGAAATTTTGTTTTTCTTCGAGCCAATTTGAGTTTTATTTATTAACGCAATATATTCTATGCTTCTCTTTAGTCTTTATATGAATTGATGATGGTTGTTTATTTTAAAGGAATTAAAGCACAACTCCCATTTGAATTTAAAGATATTTTCATAAATTAGCTGTCTACTGGAACTATTAAGTATCATTCACAAGTGACGTCCTGTAAACATTCAATGTTCAGGTTCCCTCTATATTCACGCACAGTAAGCAGTACTCTTTGTGTGGATTCAAACCATCAATTCGAATTAACTTGAATCAAATTCAATTTAGGCTTAGAACTCAAAAATTCTTATCCCTATGAACAAAAAGAAGTTGAACGTCACTAGTGATTGACCATAATTATCAATTTACTGATAAAGTAAAGGGAATTGTGCACAGGTCGCGACTTTCGGTTATTTGTTTGTTAAAAGATATGTTGTGGATAAAGAGAATAAAGTTAACGAAAAAATAATAATAAAGTTATAAGCTAAGGTCTATAAAATTATTAAGAAAGCTACAAAAGATAAAACTACACAGTAAGCGAAAAGAAAGCAAAAAGATAGATAAAGAAAAACTAAATTAAAGAAGCAGTTTGCTACAACGATCATCAAGCAACTAGAGTGATAATAATTTAAGTGATTTCTAATAGTAAAATTCAATAAAAGAGATTTCAAGAGAAAATTAAGTAATGACAGTGCTCACCTGATTCCCAATCCTCTCCGGACGATTCCGATGACGATTCAGGACTACTTGATCCTTCCGATGTGGTTTGATAGTTATCTCCTCGACTATGACGGAATTCATTTGTTGAAATTTGATTATTTCGTTGGCTTGATGAAGCGTTTCTTGTACTGACACGGTGATTGTGATTATCTGAATTGTGAGAATCCAAAACTGTACTGCTATATTGATTTACATCATTATTATTATTAATCAGATTGTTATATCGTGAATTAAGATTATTATTAAGAACTCCATTTGTTGTGTGATTAATTTGCATTCGATTAATGTGATTGCCACCTTGTGGAATTTTTTGAAATATTGTTTCAATCTAGGAAGATACAAATAAAGAATAAAGGCATAAAATTAGTGTGAAATGTAACTAAGCTAGAGATGATGATGATTACTTACTTTAAAATTTTCATTGAACATTTTCTGTTTGTCTTTGTGTGCATCGTCAATTTCAGGCTTATTCAATTCAAATATCACATTACCGTCAGAATCGACTAAATAGAGGAAAAGAAGACAAATCAGTTTAAAGCATAAAGTCACACAAATAATAGTTATAATTACCATTATTTATCTCGTTTATGAAATATGTATTAAACCAAAAGTGGAAGAGTTTTTGTTTATGCTTTAAAATTTGCGTGGATGAAAACTCAATCTTTACGTCACCCACCAATAAAAGGCATCGATCTAATTTGATGGATACATAGTTGTCAACGCGCTTCAACTCTGTCATTTGCTCATTATAAACCTGTTTTTGGAATTAGAATAGAGTTAATAATAGCCAATAAATTGCGATGAAATTAATTACTTTTGTTCCAGCCATTGTTATGGAAAATGTTAGAGTACCAAAAGTACGGATGGGAGGAAGATTATATAGCTTAATTTCACATATCTGTAACAAAAGATTGAATAGAAATTTAGTTTCGATAATCCTGTGAAAAATTTTGTTTTAGCACTTCCACTAAATACTCACATTCATTGCTACTTTTATATATGGCTTATTTGATTTCAACAATTGTGAATAGTACTCAACATAGCGTCTTTGAGATGGAATCGTCACACCCTTCTTATCTGTTGTTCGTTTTTGACCATAAAAATTTAAAGCTTCAGCTGCTGTATTGAATTGACTACTATGTAACAAATAGCAGCATATCATTGTTCCTAAAATTACATCAAAAAAAAAAATCACATTGTAAGTCATCTCGTCATTTATGTCCATAAATCTATTGAATTATTTCTATTCAAGAAGAAGTACATTTCTTGTTATTCATTTTTACTTCGATACATCAATTTGTGCGGTAAATGAATGAACAACAACAAATGTAAAATGAAGAAGATTTTAAGCAGCAAGCAACATAATGAAGAAAAAAAAGTATAAAACCATTATATCAATGTCAATAAATGTATCGATTTACCTGTTCTTCCTTTGCCGGCTTTACAATGAATCGCCGCAACATTTTTAAGATCTTCCGATAGCCACTTGTGCAAATCATTACAAAATGATTGTATTAACTCAATATTCGGTGGATTGTGATCAGAGAATGGAAAGGATGCACATTGCTAATGACGAAAAAATAATATTACGAAATTAGACTAATTGTTTCAATATCAAATGACGTGATTTTTTTTTGTAATGCACGTTGCAACATGAACTACTCACTTGAAATTTCGTGATGTCATACTGATACTTTTTCTCCTCACACAGATTATATATTTTATAATTATTATTGTGTTTTGTAGTTAAAAAATTCACCACATCGTCGATATGATTTCTATAGACTCCTTCTAAATTTTTCGCTGGATATCCCATCGCGATTATGTTGTCGCAAATATCTACAATTCAAGAGAATACTTTGAGTCAAAGAAAGGCTTTATCAGCAGGTTTACTGTCTGTTGTATGTCTACGATCAGGCATAATATGACCCAGACAGAATCTGAGCTAAATTTGCATGCGTCAGTCAATAGTTTAAAAGATGACAACTTACACGTGAGATCCAAATTAAATCCATCCTGTTTATAGCGCTTTTTTCTTTTGCTCACTATTCCTTTTATTGCGTTGGTCATTTTAATATTTGTTAACGTATTAGATGAAACCATAAATTTCTATTTATTTTTACTTTTTTTTTGCAACACAAATTATTATTTTTTAGAGCTTTCAAGTGTTCCTTTTGTTTCCTCCTATGTTTTATTACACATATTTTATAATTTTTTATATTAATTTTTTTTTCTTTCTTCTTTTTGTTTATATGAATGACGAAAAATCTCAATTTGTATTCTATACTACAGAAATTTTACTCTTGTTGTTTTTTCAATAGCGGATTTTTTTTTATTATTGTTAAGCAGAAGAACTGAGCGATCAAGAGTGGAGCGATAGAGTTCCTTAAATGTATGTACATTTATATATTATAGATAGATAGATATATTCTTCCTTTCTTCTTTTAATATTCCTTCTCTCCTAATTTTCTTCTTATACTCTCGCACACAGCTAGCTGTTTCTTCTCATAACTTTAAAATAAATGAAAAGAACAGAACAGAAAGTAAAAATTGATAGTGAGTAAAAATTTCCTTCCATAAGTTTCTCTTTAATATGTGTTCCTTTGACTTTGATTGACTTTTATAGTCTGAGAGAATTCACGGCTTTCAATGAAACACATAAAAAAAGGATATAAATGATGATGGTGAAAACATGTTTCTCTCATATTCTGTGCCCGTAAGACCATTAACACACATATCCACACACACATGCCATTCCGTATAATGAATTTTATTTATTATTTCTTTTGAAGCCTTTCGTTCATTCAAGTGCTTTTCATTCTACCAGAGGGCGAAGCCGAGTGAAGTTTAGTCGACTATAGTCGACTAAAACCGACTAAAACTTAGTCGGCTTTAGTCGACTAAAGAATTAACGGTTTTTTCCTTAGTCGGCTATAGTCGACTAAAACCGGCTAAAGTCGACTAAAGCCGCGACTAAGACCGACTAAAAACGGATTTTTTGACTTGTGAAGTATAAAAATTTCATACAAAAATTCTCTTATTTTTGTCATTCAGGTTCGAATCTCAAAATATTTTTTGACTTTTTTAAACATTCAATTATTAAATTTCTCAGCATGTTAAAAATATTGTGCTTTACATCGTAGATACCTAAAAAATCTTAATTCAATTACTGCTAAAGACGCTTAATTTTTTCGAAATTTATCTAAGCATGACATTGAAACATTTTTTTTGTGTTTAACCGTGTTCATATCTATTTTGGTATCTTATTTGACAAAACTCATTGCAACATAGCCATAGGTAGTTTAATTACCAAAATTTATTTTTAACGGTAAAAATTTGATTTTTTTTACCAAAAATTTTTGTCATTGGCAAACAAATCGAAATTGCAAAATTTTAAAACATCACATTATGCACCCAAAACTCTCTTAATGCAGAACTGTAGAAGATTTAACTGCTTTTAAAAATACAATTGACGATTCAAAATGACTTAAGTTACATTAAAGCATTAAATTGCATCATAATTTAACCAAACATTTTTTTTCGAATATTTACGAGAAATCTAATCAAATTTTTAACAGCTTATGAACATTCAAACGTTTTAAAAAAAGGACACTTTTTATGACATTTTTATTTTTTATTTTTCTTATAATACTCCATAAATGAATAAAGCTAATATTTTGAATGAGTACTTAAAATATACTTTTACAGCTTTAATCTTTTTAATTTAATAATATTTGATTTAAACAATTTTAATAGTACGAATTGAATGTTTAAAAACGTCAAAAAATATTTTAAGTTTCGAACCTGAATGACAAAAATAAGAGAATTTTTGTATGAAATTATTATACTTCACAAGTCAAAAAATCCGTTTTTAGTCGGTCTTAGTCGCGGCTTTAGTCGACTTTAGCCGGTTTTAGTCGACTATAGCCGACTAAGGAAAAAACCGTTAATTCTTTAGTCGACTAAAACCGGCTAAGCCGATTTTAGTCGACTATAGTCGACTAAGCTCGGCTTCGCCCTCTGCATTCTACTTCTCTCTTCCTCTTCTTTCAATTATCTATATATATGTGCCTAAGTATATGCGTAATCATTGTAATATTGTTCTCAACTTTATAATTATTATTGCTATTCTTTTCTAATTCAATTTTAATTTCCTTTTCTCTTCAGTTTTTCACTCTTATTGTTTTTTGGAGTAAATTAGATCTTTGTCTTGCAAGTTTTTATGAGTTAATTAAGCATAATTCAATTTATGTTGATAAGACTGTACACATGATAATTTAAATAATTGCCTTTATCACGAGACACTGCGAGACACTTTGTGCGACAGTCACTAAAATCACTATTAACTGCTATAAATGTCATCGAATAACTTTGAAAATCCAATCAATTGCCGACAAACAAGAGCGCATTACACTGGCACTAAGTTGATCTTTAAAAATTTAAATGTCCTATATATAGAGTCTAATTCAGACAGGCAGTCATATCTCACGAACTGTGTAAAAGTGCACTAAAACAGCTCATAAAAGGATTACGGAAAGCAACAAATGATTGATATTGTTGATTGACATTATGATAAATTGATGATTACATTAATAGTCGTATATAAATTACAAGTTTATGTAAACTTTATATGAACGTGCAGTTTTTACATTATATACTAACCGAAGCATGACTTTTATTTATTTAGAGAGCATATACACACATTTATATACTTATGTATAAGACTTGAATATAAAAAATCTCAATGTAGGTATGTCCTTGATATTTTTTTTCACATGCAAAATGTGTTCTCTTTTTACATAAACCTTTATATTAATTATATACATCTCTCGTTGCCTGGTGTAAGTTACTAGTCACTGTTTTAACGGCTCCATTAAATTTACGATGAAATGGAAAAGAGGTTCTTGGGTTGGTGTAGGATCAAAGGATCAAACACAGGTCCTTTAGCACTTAACACTATTTAGGAACTAAGCCCAATTCATCGATATTTGGAGATCTAATGATAGAAAATCCATAGTATCAATTAGTACTTTTGCAAAATCTCTCTAATTTATTCATCTCTGAGCATGTAATTAAGTAATCCTTTTTGCATGAATCTATGCCTAATATCCACAATTTTAAGCTATTGGACACCACTGTATAAAGTTTATATACATGCATATATATATCCAGAAAACCATCTTTTTTCTCTTTATACACATCTGATTTTCTTCTCGCGTTCCATTATATAGACATTTTTTTACTTTCGCTTGCCTGCCTGCCTTACTTAAAATGAGAAAAAAATGCTCGATTATACAAAGTATCGAATAGTTGATACCCATTTTAATAGCGTTATTTGGTAATGCAAACCATATTTATTCGAATCATATGGACAATTAACACTGATTTGGAAGTAATAGCGACTAGCTTAAAAATTTGTTAAAACGAGCTGGATCTTTTAATCGAACAAAATTACCGACTCTCTTTTTTTTGCGTATAAAATCTCAAACATGTCATTATGCATTTTAAATGTGTTAATCATGTCTGATAACTGCTTAATATTGTAGTCCTTACATCTGATAACATTTTGCAAGCATAAACTTAATGAAATTAATGGAAAAACTGGGTCTTTTTCACGAATTAAAAAATCGAGAGAATAATTTTTCACCAATAATTTTTTTTTCAGTTTTTGCACAATAATTCTTACTATTTCCATCATACACTTAAACTCATAGTTATCACACGTTATCACTTGTACTAAAGATTATTAATTAAAGGATAATATTTAGAAATTAGCTCCTTTTTTCCATTAAACAGCTCCTTTTTTCTATGAAACTGCTTCTCAATGAACTATGTTATGTAAAAATCGGTCAAGTGAGAATTTTTTTTGTTGTTACTTTTGAAATTTAAATTTATACTAGACGTTATTTCATTTAATAATTTACTAATGTTCTGAAACACAAAAAACCGTAATTATAAAATAAAGAGAAAACAGTTCAATTTTTCTATTTGAATTCTTTCTTAATTCTAGTAATCAATTTAATTGCATGTTATCTATCCCGTCCATCAAATATGACATAAGTTGATCGTTATTTTTCAGTTGAAGCACTTTGGGGTCGTTCACTTATTACGTTACGCAAAAAAACGACTTTTTTCATCCCCCCCTCCCCCCTTGTTACAATATGTTACAACTCACAACCCCCCCCCCCCGAACGTTCATAATTTATTTTATCATTAAAAAGGTGGAAAATTTGAAAAAATGTTTTTGGTGTGAATTTTTGTGAACTTTTTTTTAAAAGACAGACGACAGTTGGAACGTTACATACTTCTTGACACCCCCCCCCCCCCCCCTTATGTTACATTTTGTTACAATTTTTCAAACCCCCCCTCCCCCCTAAAATGCGAACGTAATAAGTGAACGGCCCCTTTTCTAGCTTCTTGTCTACTTTATCTGAAACATTTATTGACTTAATAATGTTTTCATTAAGAGAAGTCTTTACTTTTATTTTAAATACATAACGTGCTTCTAAAATTAAAATTTACTAAGGTTGTAAGTTTATTTTTCACTTAAATAACGGTCGAAAGAAATTTAAATTCAAAATGTTTTCAACTAGTATAGCGTGTTATTGAATAACGATCTTTCTTTTTTTCCGAAATCTCAAAGCGAGAATTTTGTTGAGGTATTTAATTAAATTTTTAACTAGTTTATCGTACATAAAAAGATGTGAATTTAACTTATTCATCAAGTTTAAAGCTTAAAGTTGTGAAATAACATCAAGTATCATTGAATGGATCTACTTTAATAGAGATATTTTAATTTATTTACAACTTTAACCTAAAAAACGTGATACTGTTGATGTCAAAAATAATTGTACAATTTTAATTCAATCAATTTCTTTTATTTCTTTTAGATCATGAGAACTATCAACAGCAATCAAGTTGTAAAACTCCCAAAAGGAGTCAGCGCTAATGTCAAGGCACGTATTGTAACGATCCGTGGACCAAGAGGTAAACTTACCCGAGATTTCCGTCATCTTGCTATGGATATTAGAATGGTTAATCGCAAAAAGGTCATGGTTGAAAAATGGTTCGGTTCCAAAAAAGAAATTGCTGCTGTTCGTACCGTCTGCAGTCATATCGAAAACATGATCAAGGGTGAGTTTCACTAATGGACTTGTTTACTCTAGTTTCTGTGACTTACAAGTGTCTTAATTATTTAAGGTGTCACAAAGGGATTCCAATACAAGATGAGAGCAGTACATGCGCATTTCCCCATCAATTGTGTCATCTCTGAAGCCAACACAGTCATTGAAATCCGTAACTTCTTGGGAGAAAAGCATATCCGTAAAGTTACAATGAAACCAGGTGTGACAGTCGTCAACTCCACAAAGCAAAAGGACGAATTGATTTTGCAAGGAAACGACATTGAAGCAGTTTCTCTTTCTGCTGCCCTTATTCAACAATCCACAACAGTTAAAGATAAGGATATCCGTAAATTCCTTGACGGTTTGTATGTCTCAGAGAAGACAACAGTCGTGCAAGAGGAAGAATAAAGTGCTAATTGTTTTGTTCTTCATCTTTTTATTATGCTGAAATAATAAACATCTAAAAATAATTTAAGATGAAACGAAATTATTACTTATTTATATTGTTTACATATTCTAAACCTTGGTTCCAGCATAATTTTAGTCTATGCTGCATGCATTATCGCATCTTTTTTTCGCGTCAATAAGTTGTATTCCCCTCCATCTATCACTGTCTTATTTTTATTTAAAATTTACTGTAATCAACATGGAAAATAGCAACTTACAAAAGTATTTTGACCTTGATTCTCAAAACAGCGATATATTTGATCAATTTAAAGGTAAATCGATAGACAGAAGCACTTATTCATTTCTTTTTAATAAAATTCTTTAATAAATCTAAAGATTTACCTGGAATAACACCAGAAGTTCGTGATATGTGGGTTCTACCTGAAAATAATCAGAAAACTACGACTCCAGCTGTTTCAATTGAATTATTTAGTGATCCAATAGCGTCAGCAATTCAAACAAATTGTCCAGCTGAAATTGAAAAAAGGAAGAAACATGAAAATTCAGAGAACTTGACAATTGATGATAATGGGATAAGAGCTTTAATTAAGGATAATTGTTATCGATCAGCTCTTTCGCTTACATCTCGTTTATTATCGAATTACGGTCAAGGACTTAAATCAGGACAAGAAATTAAGCATAGCAAGCATTCCTTACAGCTGTGGTACACAAGAATCTATTTGCTGATTAAAATAAATGAACTAGAGATTGCTCGAAAAGAAAGTGAAGCATTTGGACAGTTAAATAATGCTGACATGTTTTATGAATTTACAGAAGAACAGGCTTATAAAAGCAAGAAAGGAAGTCTTCCTAATTTTGCATTCAGGCTCCTTTTATCCTACGAACTTCCATTTAAATTAAACCGTTCGAGAGAAGCACTCCAAAACTTAGTCACGATTCTTGCAAATACTAGAAAGATCCACAAATTTTTCAGAGATTTGAATAAATTAACTGAAGCTGAATTTTGGAAGGAACGTGAAATTCGAGTGCTGTGCTCAATCATCAACTGTGCTACTCATTTGAAGAATTTCGATTTAATTAATCAAATTTTTGACAATCTTTTGCTTTTACCGGATCTCAAAGAGGATTTTAAATTTGAGCTTTATTCAGCTTGGGGAAGAATGTAAGGACACTCGTTTCATTAATCATATATAATCATTAATTCCTTAATTTTTTTTTTTGAACATTAGACATCTTCAATGTGGTGATATTTCAACGGCAGAGAAAAAATTTAACACGATTCCATCAGTTAATCCTAAACATGAATTGATTGCTCTTGTAAATAAAGGACTGTTGGCTGTGGCACAAAATGATTATAATGAAGCTCACAACTTATTCCAACAAGCACACGAATTGGACAAAAATAATGTCATGGTAAGGACTGTTGAAATGCTTTAAATGGGCAATTCTACGAAAAGGTTTCATGAAAATAATCCGTGTCAATTGCATGAAATTTTTTAATTATTTTATTTTCACTTGTGCATAGTTTTTCAAAAATCTAATTCTCATTTCCTTTTCTGTGTTTAAACTGTGAATTATGATTACATCTGCACTCAAATTACTTAGCTATGGCTTGAGAAATTCATGGTTTTAATTTTAATATTTGGTAGTTTTTTTTGGAATTGTCTCCAAATTACTCTGTTTCACTTATGAAATTTTTCGTAGAATCCAAATTGCAGCTTAATTAAGGCTTCCACAAATATGATTTTGACATCGTTTTGAAGCTTTTACTTTAAGCTATAACTTTGTATACTTAGTATTACTGGAAATTTTACCACCTTAAAGATATTAATGAAAACATTTTGAAAATTTGGGCGAAAAAATTCATGTGAAACAGAGTAATTTTTCGTAGAATGTAAATAATTCTTTAATTAACCATTTTTAATATGTTTGGGTGAGAACAATATGTAGATCTCGGTAAAATCTACTATTAAATACATGAAACATGGGGAGTAATGCAACTGATAAAGATTAATATAGATTTGGAGACAAATTTGTAGAAAAAATCATTCGTAGAATCGCCCAAATACAAAACAGTTGTACAGTTTGCATTTACTTTTCAAATTAATAATCCACAGATATTAAATAATTTAGCAGTATGCTTTCTATATAATGGGAAAATGCACGAGGCAATAGCAATTTATGAGAGTGCAATTAAGAATGATCCGAGAAATAATCTACATCCTACAACACTTTTAAACTGTGCAACGCTGTACGAACTTCAATCCAACGAGTCCAAAAAGAAGAAGATTGACTTGCTGAAAATTGTTTCAGCCAATCGAGCAGATTTAGAGATGAACATCGATGCATGCTTAAAACTTTGAATGAATCAATTGAAAGGAAAAGAAATTAATTTATTCGGCTATCAATTTATGAGTTTTTATATTATTCAGTAAATTAATTCATTAGTACAATAGAGGATCACTTAAATAATTAAATATAATTAATAAATTTTTTGTTTAATTCAATGAAATATGATTTCATAGCAATTTTTTTTATATCCTTTACGCCATTCAAAAAAACCAACATTTTGACATTTAAATATTTGCACTTTCTTAAAGAAATTTTTAACTTCTCGCCTGCCTATCATGCTAATCTTTATCCTCATTATTAAAATTGTGTGAAAATTATTAAATATATCCTTTGTTTAATTGGTCTCGTGACAAGACATGAAGTTGAATAAATCACACAAAACTTTGTGAACAGAATGTCTAGTAAAATCAATCAACTGTTGCTTACACGATAGGTTTTAAAATATAAACTTTTTTTTGTTTTGTAATATATGCATCTCATCTTAAAAGAACTTGTGGTATTCTCACTATGGCAAAAACAAAATGTGACTTACTGTTGTTTCAAATGGCTGCATTAATTTCACTCAATTTTTATCATTTTTTCCTTCGTTAAAATAAAATAAAATTATGATTTATTATTAGTTTCAGCGATGCTACTTGTTGTTGTCACAGTGCTTTCTGCGACAGTCGCTTCGATATTCTTATCCTTTCCAGGTCTATAAGATTCTAAAAATGCGTCTATTGCTGTATCGGTTGGTTTGTACAATTGATATCCCTGTTCATTTTGAAGCCAGCACACTAGTGTTGAATTGGTACTTTTTACATTAACTTCAGTTCTGCAAATCAAGTGACATGATAAAATTAAAGAAAAATGATTCATGAATGATTATGAAACTTACTTTTGGAGAACATGCTGATATCCGTGACGATATTCATGTTCCATTGCAGGTACTACTAGTAATTTTCGTTTATAAGCACTATCTTCTATTCGTGACATACATTTTAATGGCTTATCCTTAAATTCAGGTAGAAAAACAATGAAGCTCAATGGATAATTGGAATCAGATAGCAATCGATCAATATGCTGCAACGTTGCGTCAATCAGCTCCTCACAAAACGGCGGATTCGCCTGAAAAGAGCCCTTTGTTGGATAGAAATCCAAAAATGGCCTAAACATACAACATCATTTAGTACTATTAAGCAATTGTAAAAAAAAAAAAAAATAAGGAGCTCACCCTCGAGATCCAAAATAAGAATCAGTATCACCAAAAGCAGAGCAATATTGACGAAAATAACAATTTAAAGGACTCGCAAAACATTCAAACGTAACTCCAAAATGGACATTCAAGCAATTAAAAACGGACGCAGGAATTGCGGCTTGTGTCATTTCAGATTCTTGCTGTACAGGCGTATAATTTCCCAAGAAAGTCGAATATCTCTTTAACATGCAATACAACCGTGGAATGAATAATGAGAAGTTATCATCACAATTATATCGATAAAGTTGTTCCTGCACATAAACATAAAATCATAAACTTAAAAATCAAATAATTATTTCAAGTCAATTTAACTTACTAATTTCTGTAAATGCGTCATGTTAATAGTGTGAGTATCGGGCTGCTGTGAAGATGGATGTGTGTATTTAACGTTGATATGATCACGTTCAAATTGATAGTCGACAACAGGTAAACGAATTGGCGGCAAAGCAAACTGAATAGGAGAGCAAATTTCCTCTTTTCTAAGACTAGGCGGAAGTGGAGGAGTTGGATCATGCAGACCATTGTCTTTAAGCAACTGCACATGCCTTTCTCTTATTTTCTTAACATGCTCGACAGAGAGATGATAAATTTTACTACATAATGCTTCTACACTACTCTTGACTGTTTCTACCAAATGTGGCTCACACTGCCTCCTCAAATGCTCCAATCTAGGAATTATAAAAGTTTACTTAATCACTAGATTAATTATAAAATAGTAAATTGCTTACCGATCCTGAAAATCTTCATATGAAGCTCCGACAGTTCGCCTCAACCACTCAAAAGTTTCCTCTGCATTCCATTTAACAATCTTTTTGCTTTCAGCAGGTGCCAAACGATTCTCGATAATATGAACAGCAGCTTCAGCATAACGTGAGAGCTGCTTTCGAGCATCACTGGTATACTTTGGTTTCACAATTCTAATGGGAATATCTTGAATAATTTCTCTATACATTGACGGAGAGACTTCTGGTAGACAAGAACTCGGTAAGATTGGATCGAGTCCTTTATCAATGACTTTTCTCTCCATCAACCATCGATTAAATGAGCCTCTTGGCGCTTTTATCGATTCCCGTTGTTGACATAAGTTCTCAAATGTTTGAAAGAGCTTTTGTGCAGCAACTCCTCTCATGTACTCAATTTCCGGGTGTGGATGTAATAAATGTGATGGTGGTCTATTGTAAATATACACACTTGATTGCACTTCTAAATCCCATGGACCAGCCAAAACAAATTTCTTCATTGGTACCGAAGCTTGATGTGGATGACTTAAATTTCTTTTTAACGGTGGCTTATATGGCGGTCTGGAAGGTCCAGGAAGTGGAGAATGAGGACTATTTGGACCAGACGTTGATGTTGTACTGCAAATCCCTAATGGATCCGTTAACGGATCAAATTGACGATTTAAAACTGGCGTTTCCCATAGCGATTCATTTGTTATCTTATTCCAATAGTACGGACGATTTTCTCTCTTTGACCAAAATTTCTTCCATCCTTGTCGCACCTGTTTTTTGTTTCATTTTTATTTTTCTAATAAGAATATTATTTTTATTTAATTAAAATATGTAAACTTACCAGTTCTGGATGTAATTCATCTCCGTATTCTGGTTGTTGTTGTTGCGGAGTTGGTGGTAATGATGGTTGTTGTTGTATTTGACTGATAGGCGGTTGCGTTTGATTGTTTACAGCAACGATTGGCAGCTTTTGTGCACTTGACGGAGCTGTTAATGTTTGTGTCTGTTGTTGCTGACGTATTGGATGTTCATAGTTTTGAGTTTGTGCCAATTGATCCCAAGCAGTTTGAGCAGCTTCTGTTTTCGCGCCAATATGGTTCATTTCACTGTGTTTTTCCGCAGATATCCTTGTCGCAATTATAAGTTTTCATCTATCTCCCTCAATTTTCTTTTTTACATTAAAATCACGCAATTTTGAACTTATTGACACTCATTAGACACTTGAAACATTCCAAATCACTCTAATATCTTTTCGCGCGCAATGAAAAAGTCACTTTTCTTCTCTTAAAAGCTGCTTTTTGTTTATTTTGCACCGAACCGACAATTTGTTACTAATCCGAGAAGAAAAAATTTGTTCATTTAAGAGAAAAATTAAAAGGCGATAATGATGCACTCGTCAAATTACACTGATTAATAGTCATTTCATAACAATAATATCTTCATTCACTAGTTCCGTGACTTATCAACATTTTCCACTAATTTTCATCAATTTTCGATTTGTTTAAGACTGCTTATTCTATTTTTTTATTTCCACAAACGAAACTTATTTTCTCAACAAATATGGTGGCTCGACTTTCTGTGTCACTGATGTCTACATACACCTCCTCATTTTTTCATGTACACCCTAATCGTTCCTTAATTTACATGATTTCTTTACTGATTATAGCATTATTATGCACAATATATTATGCTTATTATTGTATAATTAATAAATAGGGCTGTCATTCATGTTTTTGGAATGTTGTTGTCAGTCAGGCATAGCCAGTTCTATTCATCAACAAACCCCCATGAGAACTGTCACTTTTTGCATCTCCGAGACACATTTTCACTGTGTTTTTTGCAAATAAAAGTTAAGTAATTTTCTTAATATTAGACAAATGTAATTATTGATTTAATTAATAAAGCATTCGTCTAATTAACATCAGAAGTCTGCAATAGATATAAAGGAGTTCTGATGAAATCATAAGAATAATTAATACGAAACTTCAAAAGTAAGTTAAAGAGCAAATATCAAGTCTTGTGATTTCATCGATTTGATAACAAAAAAAAATTTGACGATTTATATCGGTGATTAAGATAAGAGCATAGACAGCACAGTGAAAAATGGAGAGCACTGGAAGTACATTTCCGAAATGGCAATTAGCTATATTAATTGGAACTCCAGTTGCTTTAGGTCTCGGATATTTGTATTGGAAGAATCAGAATCAATCAATTGAGGAAGGCACAGATGATGATAAAACAGAATTAAAGAAGAAATTGACAGGAGATACAAAATCCATATCGATTGATGGTGATACAGCAAAGTCAGCAAGTAGTAATGCTAATTCGCCAACAACTAATGCGAGCAATGGAATCCCAAAAGAGTTTGAAAGCAAACAATTTAAAAAGTTGTCACCGTTTGAAAAGGCTGTAAAGTATAAGGAATCAGGAAATGATTGCTTTAAAAATGGCAAATATGATGGTGCCATTGAGCTATACGATAAAGCTATTGAAATTTGCCCAAAATCAAACAGCATTGACTTGTCACAATTCTATCAAAACAGAGCAGCTGCATATGAGCAATTGAAAAAATGGAGTAATGTCTCGGACGATTGCACAAAAGCTCTTGAATTAAATCCAAAATACGTGAAAGCTCTCCATAGACGTGCTCGTGCATTTGAAAACTTGAAACAACTCGAATTGTGTCTTGAAGACGTTACAGCTGTTGCAATCCTTGAAGGATTCCAAAATAACAATAGTCTGATTTTTGCCGATCGCATTTTGAAAGAACTTGGATTGATGCATGCTAAAGAAGCAATGATTAATAAGGAACCAGTCGAGCCTTCCACAAACTTTGTTACATCGTACTTTAAGTCGTTTTCACAAGATCCAATTCATAAAGTTGTTGTAAGCAGTACAGAACCAAAAGGCTTCTTAAAAGCCAGCAAAGCATTTAAAAATGGACAATACAATGAAGTTGTCTCAGCGTGTAATGAGGAAATTGAGAGTAGTGAAGATGATTCTGACTATAAGCTCGAAGCTATTTTATTGCGCGGAACATATTACCTCCTATCCGGTCAATTCGATAAGTCATTGACTGACTTTAATCAAGTTATTAATAATAAAGATGCTGATCCTAAATTGAGATCAAATGCATTAACAAAACGCGCTAGCTTACAAATGCAAACTGATCAACGAGAAGCCTCATTTAGTGACTTTGAAGCAGCAATAAAACTTGATCCAGAAAATCCCGACATTTATCATCATCGTGGACAAGTCTATTTATTAGTCGAACAACTTGACGATGCCGTTAATGACTTTACAAAAGCAACAGATTTAGCACCCAAAAACCCCATCACATATGTCCACAAACTATACTCAGAATACCGTCAGGCTGTTAACGAACAAGACAATACAAAACTCTTCGCTAAGGTACGATATCTGTGACTTTATGCTTATAAATCATATTTATCAATTTACTATTTGTTTCCATTAGATTGAAGAATTTAGCGAAACTGTTAAAAACTATCCAGAATGCATTGAAGTGTACAGTCTCTTCGCACAAATCTTGTCAGATCAACAGCAATTCCAACTGGCTGATGATTATTTCGAAAAAGCAATGAATTTGGAACCAAATAATGCCGGATTATACGTTCACAGAGGATTATTGTTGCTGCAATGGAAAGGTGACATAAATGAAGCACTAAAACTTCTTGAGAAGGCTATAGAAGTAGATGAGAAGTGTGAATTCGCCTACGAGACCTTGGGAACCGTAGAAGTTCAAAGAGGTGAATTTTTGAATGTTGAAATTCCTTTTATAATAATTTTAATGACGATTCTTATTTTAGGGAATTTGGAACGAGCTATTGCACTATTTGACAATGCAATGAAACTAGCAAAGAGCGAGATGGAATTGACACACATATTTTCATTACGGGATGCAGCGCAAGCACAATTGAATGTTACAAAAAAGATGGGATTAACATTAGCATCCTTAATGTCTAATTTGCCCAATTTTTAAGCAAACCGGTTACTTTTTTTTGTTCTTTTTTTTAGAAAATTTAATATGAGGATATAGAATCGCTTGACAGAAAAGAAATTCACGATAAAGGATTTAATTTAGAAACTTATCAGATTTTTGTTGTTTCCTTTGCGACATATATGCATTCAAAAATAAAGTATACACTTATTACAAATGATTGACTTACTTTTTTGATCTAATAAGAATTTGTTAAAAAGTGAGGAATTTAACCTTTTGATGACAGATTGGTCTACAAACTTAATTCCAGCTTATTTCGTTAAAATTCCAACAAAAAAATTTGTATGGTTTTAATATGAATATGTTTATCATTTTATACTTCACAATTCGACTGTTGTATTGCTTTAATACAAATTGATGCAAAATCGACTGTTGTATTGCTTTAATACAAATTGATGCAAAATCGACTGTTGTATTGCTTTAATACAAATTGATGCAAAATCGACTGTTGTATTGCTTTAATACAAATTGATGCAAAATCGACTGTTGTATTGCTTTAATACAAATTGATGCAAAGTCGACTGTTGTATTGCTTTAATACAAATTGATACAAAATCGACTGTTGTATTGCTTTAATACAAATGATGCAAAATCGACTGTTGTATTGCTTTAATACAAATTGATGCAAAATCGACTGTTGTATTGCTTTAATACAAATTGATGCAAAGTCGACTGTTGTATTGCTTTAATACAAATTGATGCAAAATCGACTGTTGTATTGCTTTAATACAAATTGATGCAAAATCGACTGTTGTATTGCTTTAATACAAATTGATGCAAAATCGACTGTTGTATTGCTTTAATACAAATTGATGCAAAGTCGACTGTTGTATTGCTTTAATACAAATTGATACAAAATCGACTGTTGTATTGCTTTAATACAAATGATGCAAAATCGACTGTTGTATTGCTTTAATACAAATTGATGCAAAATCGACTGTTGTATTGCATTAATACAAATTTATGCAAAATCAACTGTTGTATTGCTTTAATACAAATTGATGCAAAATCGACTGTTGTATTGCTTTAATACAAATTGATGCAAAATCGACTGTTGTATTGCTTTAATACAAATTGATGCAAAATCGACTGTTGTATTGCTTTAATACAAATTGATGCAAAGTCGACTGTTGTATTGCTTTAATACAAATTGATGCAAAATCGCCTGTTGTATTGCTTTAATACAAATTGATGCAAAATCGACTGTTGTATTGCTTTAATACAAATTGATGCAAAATCGACTGTTGTATTGCTTTAATACAAATTGATGCAAAGTCGACTGTTGTATTGCTTTAATACAAATTGATACAAAATCGACTGTTGTATTGCTTTAATACAAATGATGCAAAATCGACTGTTGTATTGCTTTAATACAAATTGATGCAAAATCGACTGTTGTATTGCATTAATACAAATTTATGCAAAATCAACTGTTGTATTGCTTTAATACAAATTGATGCATAATCGACTGTTGGGCAATTCCATGAGTGAAAAAATGCAAGTAAAATTCTTTTTGATCAAAATACTCTTAAAATAACATCTTTTTCCGTTCTTTTAAAAATTTATAATTAGAAATAACTCAAGATATTCATTTTAAAATAGGTAATTAAACGTTTAAAGGTCTATTTACTGAAATAATTCAGTTTTTTCATCGTTAATCGGTTAAGTTTACGAAAATTTTGCTTCTTGTATCCTTAAAAACGTCTTCAAATATCCATTTTTTGTGCTCAAGTATATTTTTAAGCCATAGATATTCACTTTTTCTACTTATTTGTACCCTTTTTCTGTTCTTAAATGCTTTATTCACAGAGAAAATTAAAAAATACTGCGTTAATCGGTTAAGTTTTCAGCGCTTTATCCAAAACCAACAAAAAACAGAAAATTTGAATTTTGAATTTCCGTTAAATTTATTTATTGCTAAGAATAATTTCTCTTCGAAAAATAACATTTTATTGGGTTAATAATGAATTTAATGTGTTTTTTTTTCATGTTAACATCATGATTTTGTGTAATAATCGTAATAATAATCAAGGCAATGAAAATTAGTTTGAATCTTTTGAAAATTTATAACGGTAAAAAAAAATTCAAATTCCTACAAGTAGAAAAATATTACAACTTGCTTTTTCTCAGTTCCCTTTACTCGTGGAATTGCCCTGTTGTATTGCTTTAATACAAATTGATGCAAAATCGACTGTTGTATTGCTTTAATACAAATTGATGCAAAGTTGACTTTTGTATTGCTTTAATACAAATTGATGCAAAATCGACTGTTGTATTGCTTTAATACAAATTGATGCAAAGTCGACTGTTGTATTGCTTTAATACAAAATCGACTGTTGTATTGCTTTAATACAAATTGATGCAAAATCGACTGTTGTATTGCTTTAATACAAATTGATGCAAAATCGACTGTTGTATTGCTTTAATACAAATTGATGCAAAATCGACTGTTGTATTGCTTTAATACAAATTGATGCTCGTGAGTCACAGATATTTAAAGCTATGCTCATAATATTGAGCTTAATGATTACAGGGAAAATACAACAGAAATCCTCAGAATTGATTCTATAATTCCATCAAAAACACAAAGTGCATTGTGAAGTTTAAACAGTTTTATTCGTTCATCAATAAATTCAATTGGATGTTTAATTAAGTTAACTTAAATACTCGACATGCTGTTTAAACTCGATCGAAATTTATTGTGGCTTTTGCAGGAAAAGATTTTTAATAACTAGATACATTCATAGAAGGAATAATGAAGAATTTAAACCTTGTATCCTACGAGATGTCTTTTGCCAATACACTCGCCAACATAGAACCAAAAGCATACTTCCATGGCAACTAATGAATTGAGCCAAGCTTCACGTACAGTCAAATTTTTCCAGGTTCCATTCTTTGCGCCTGATACTAATTTAACAATTCCATTTTTAATGGCTGGTAAATCAGCTGGTGATGGTGGTGTTAATTCGACAGCTGCATACTTCATGAAAACTGCAAACTTTGGCTTTGCTTGTGTCAACAGCGCTAAAATTAATCAAATTGAGGATTTTCATACATTATGTAATTTTAAAATAATTTAAAAATATCTCAAAAACCCGTTTAATCTAGAATCTCTTGACGTGGATTTATCAATTATACTTACTCGAAACTAAGGCTGATGATTTGGTAGCGATTCCTGCCATTTTAGAGTGGTTTTTTAATTAATTTCGACGATATTGATTGCAAGAAAAATGAAAACCTTCTTTCCGATGCTTAGTGATGCGAAAGTGGCATGACCCGCTTTTTAGAAGACGCAGAAATTTGAAGCACATTTCACACACAAAATAATAAATTAATTAAGTTTCGCGATATCTTCATTAAATCTCTATTAAAATGACCTCAAAAACTGCAAGTAAAGCTGTTAAGGCACCGGCAAGACAAGGACAAGCATTCAAGGATAAGAGCAAGCCAGCAGATATTCGTCAAAGTAACATAAATGCTGCAAAAGGTAAATTTTGTGCAATAAAAATTTTATTCCATTTAATTACTGTATTTACTCACATATCGATATTGGTCACGTGATAATTTATGATTTTGATAGTTGAACTTTTAAACTAGCTTAACTACATAGATGTACAGTACTGTTTTATCATAATTTTACCCTAAAACCTAAACATTTGGGGTTAATACTAGCCGTGAATATTCTAGAGAGAATGATTCATTCATGTCTTAATTATTTTTTGCAGCTGTGTCTGATGCTATCCGTACAAGTCTTGGACCAAGAGGAATGGACAAAATGGTAAGAAAGACTATACATAAACTTAGTGACTAATTGATAAATCTAATCAATATAATGATATTTTGTAGATCCAAGCAGCAAATGGAGAAGTTACAATCACGAATGATGGAGCAACAATCTTGAAACAAATGAATGTTATTCATCCAGCTGCAAAAATGTTGGTCGAATTGTCTCGCGCTCAGGATGTTGAGGCTGGTGATGGAACAACATCAGTTGTTGTTATTGCCGGTGCACTTTTGGATGCTGTAAACAGACTTCTTCAAAAGGGAATCCATCCAACAGCCATTTCGGATGCATTCCAAAGATGTGCACGTAAAGCAGTCGAGATTTTAACTGAGATGTCACGTCCAATTGAATTAAACGATCGCGAAAGTTTAGTTAAGAGTGCTTCAACATCACTCAACTCTAAAGTCGTATCACAACAAAGCAGTTTATTGGCACCAATAGCAGTCGATGCTGTAATGAAAGTTGCTGAAGAGCGTGGAACCGAGAAATCTGTTGATCTCAAAAATATTAAAATTATTCAAAGTTTAGGAGGAACTATTGAAGATACGGAATTAGTTGAGGGATTAGTGTTTACTCAAAAATCATCTGGAGTTAATGGACCAAAGAGAATTGAAAAAGCAAAGATTGCACTCATTCAATTCTGTATTTCTCCACCAAAAACGGATATGGATCATAATGTCATTGTTTCGGACTATGCAGCAATGGATCGTGTCTTGAAAGAAGAACGTGCTTATATCTTGAATATTGTCAAACAAGTTAAAAAGGCTGGATGTAATGTTTTGTTGGTCCAAAAATCAATTTTACGTGATGCTGTTTCTGATTTAGCTCATCATTTCCTCGATAAAATTAAAGTTATGGTCGTTAAAGACATTGAACGTGATGATATCGAATTTGTATGTAAAACACTTGGATGTCGTCCAATTGCATCATTAGATCACTTCCTCCCAGAGAATGTTGTTAATGCTGATTTAGCCGAAGAAATAAGCAGTGGAATGAACAAGTTTATTAAAATTACTGGAATTCAAAATCAAGGTCGTACTGCAAGTATTATTGTACGAGGATCGAATAAATTAGTATTGGAAGAAGCTGATCGTTCAATTCATGATGCTTTATGTGTCGTACGATGTCTTGTTAAGAAGCGTGCATTAATTGCTGGTGGTGGTGCTGGAGAAATTGAAATGGCTTTACAACTTGCAGCCTACAGTCAAACCTTGGAAGGAATTGATGCATATTGCTTCCGTGCTTTTGCAGAAGCCTTGGAAGTAATTCCATCAACTCTCGCTGAAAATGCTGGATTAAATCCAATCTCAACTGTTACCGAATTGAGAAGTCGTCATGCACAAGGCGAAAAGAATGCTGGAATTAATGTACGAAAGGGAGCAATTACTGATATTTTAGCTGAGAATGTCGTTCAACCACTCTTGGTTTCTACATCAGCCATTACTCTGGCTTCAGAAACTGTTCGTTCAATCTTGAAGATTGACGATATCATCAATACATTGACATAAATGTCGTTTACATTAATTGCACATGAAGTAATAAGGATCAAAAGAATAACTCATCAGTTTTTTGCGTTAATATCACATATTTTGTATTTCCTGCAATTTCTATCCAGCATTAATTCTAACACATTTCTTCGTTTTCCTTTCAATTTTAATTAAACTTTTATTTTCTAAGCACATAACTTAATAAAATAAAAAATGAAATGCTTAATCATTAATTTAAAAGAGAACTTATTTATTTTTTATGATTTTCTACTGCTCATTGGCTCGAAGCTATCTCCAATTCTCTCAATTGTGTATCGATTCAACGATACAGACATTATTGGAACTCCAGGTATCTTTCTTATTCGTCTCTTTAGATCTTTATCGTTTGTAGCAACTATATAACATTTATGCTGTGTTACTCGATTAGCTATGCAGTCATCAGCATACGTTCCTTTATGCATACAAGGAAGTCTCTCAAAACGATCGTCTTTGATAATCTTCAATGCTAATTTATACTTTTGTCCCATCTTTTCCAGTTCTCCTCGAACACATCTGTTGATAAATTATGAGAATTAGGGGTTTATGGTTTATGCAGCATTAAGTGACTTACTCAGTGATGTATGGAATACATTTGGCATATAGACAGTCCATCAAGCTCTTCAAAATGTCTAGCTTGTTTTTGATGCTAAAGTTTATAAAGTTTGTGTCCAATATAACATGATAAGGTGGTCCAAGTTGTGTATTATAGCTGAAGAACAGAGCAGACGATGATTTAGGCTTTTCAATAACTTTCAACTGAGTTGGATCTTCCTTTTTTTGTTTTATTAAACGATCTTTTTCCTTTAATCGATTATCCTTCAAACTTACTAGTCGTTTAAGCTACAAATATAATAAATTTAAGATGTTTGGAAATTCAATTCATTCACAAATATATTTGAGCACGTTGTGTCCTTAGCTATTTACCTGAGCAAGTTTCTGAACAGCAACACGACGAGTTTTTTGTTGTTTTTTATTGCCCTACGTTATAAATATAATTTGCTTCTTAATTAATCAGTTCTAAAGCCTTAATTCATGCGTACTTACCATATTAAAGATATTTTTATTAAAACTCAAATGTTTATTTACTTTTTACTTGCTGTTATCTCAAATTTCCCAACATAGAGTTTAATATTATACTCTGTCTGCTTGTCATAAATTTGAGTTTAATAAGTTTCTGATGTTAAATATTTACACCCATATTATCATAATAAAACGTCCCGATCGGCAAACATTGAACAGAACAGTCAGGTAGAAAAGTATATGCGTTTTATGCTGACTATAATATTAATTAATATTAATGTTACTTTTAAGGTGCCTTCACATTTGGAATATTTCAGTTGAATTTAAAGAAGCTTCATTACACAAAGAAAAACTTGTTGATTATTGTTGATTTGCGAGATGAGAAGCAATAATATAAAGACAAAAGTTGGTCGTGGAAGACCTAAACGATTACGAGAAGTTGAAATTAGTGGAGAAATAGATGAGAATCAGAATCCAAAGAAAAATAGAATTGAAATATTGGATGAATCTGTTGATAAGCTCAAATTGTTTGAGGAGAGATTCAAGGAAGCGATTAAGACAGGCATTGATTTATTCCATGACCGTATATCGTTATCAGCAATTTCTCTCAAAGAGAGATTAGCTTACATGATTATATTAAAGAAAATAATGACAACAATTGAATGGAAATTTAAAAGGCTTGTAAGCACTAAACAACAAATGGAATGTTTAACTCGTAAAGCTATAGAATCACCAAAAGAACGGAAGAATATGTTGACAATTATGGAGAAGTTCGTAGAATACAAACTCAAAAGTTTTCCAGGCAAGACAAGACATTTTAAGGCTGAAAGCATAGCAAAGCATTATCAATGTGAATTAAAGTGCTATGGCGTTACTCAGGAAATACTATCTACAAAAATTGATGAACTTGTTAAAACGATTGAAGTTACAGAAGGTCCTATATCAAGAATTGAAAAGAACCCAAAGAATATCATTAAGATCTTAAAAGTTAAGAACAATGTATGTCGTCTATGCGGATCCAAGAAAAACTTAATATACAGCATAAACCAGAGAAAGGAAAATATTCGTTTCAAGGAAGTTGTCGAGTATTTCTGCAGGTAAAATTGACTTTTATATTTGGGTTTAAATGACATTAATCAATTAATTTCTTATTATTTAGAGTAAACATTCGTGATAATGATAATCTACCTCATCTGGTCTGTAAAGGATGCAAGGACTATATTGAGAATTTCTCTAAATTTTCCGAACAAGTTAACAACTTTCAAAATAAGCTGGATTCAGATACTGAAAATTACGTGGTACCCAAAGAATTTATTAAGACAGAAACAGTTTATCTCGATTATGAAGAAGACACAAATTCAGGCAACAGAAGTACAGTTGATTTTATTGATGGGTCAAGCCATGAATGTACAGAATATTCGGTAAATGAAATTGAAGTAGGTGTCAACTATATATGCTGTAATGATAATCTTGTAACGATAAATAGTCCCAGTTTATGTGAAACACGAAATGAAATTCCAATAATTGAACCTGATATTATTCAAAATACTCCTGTGAATGAAGCAGCACAAGATAACGACGATTATGAAATGAGTCACGTGATTTCATGTTCTGAAGTGTCTACATCTACACCAAAATCAACCAGCACTAAGCAATGCAAAATAGTTTTAGAACGATTACCAATAAAATACGTACCGAGTGATAGCGAGGAAAGTCAAGAGGAACTAGAAGAAGTTAACACAACAAACTCACCTCATGTAAGATCTGTATCAAGCCTTGAAATAGATTTTCAAACAATTCAGAGTGCCGTTTCGGACTTGATAGAATTGGTAAGCTAATGTTCATTTATGTTGAGCGTATATAGCAGTGCTGTTCAAACCTAAAATAACATATGTACGATAATAATAAAAGAAAATGTTTGAACATCGCTGGAATTCACTCCACAGTTTCTAAAAGGATTCTCTGTTTCTCTAGAAACTAGAAATTCTGAAAGATAATTTGGCAGCAGACTCAAGTTACGAATCAAGCTATTAAGTTTTAAATTTTTTTCAACTGCATGGTTTGAAATCATGGCTGGTTTATTATGTAAATTGTTAAAAATATGTTGAATTTTTAAACATTGCTCAAAAATGCTAGGCATGTTAAGGATTTACTTATGTTAAGGATTTGTCGTTATAAAGTTTAAGACAAAGATCTAAAGAGGATCAGAGATTTGAAGTAACAATATTTTAAATTTTATGGATTTTATTATTTTTGATTCTCAAATAATCATTTCTGATTTTATTCATTTTAAAAATATCAGATTTATAAAACATTGAACATCATGTTAATTATGATTAAGTACAAAATAAATTGAAAAGAAATTTTTGCAAAAAAAAAGTGTATGAAAAAGTTTATAGGATTTTACTCACTTGCATGAGCATTACGAGTATGAGAATTTTTGAGTTGGGTCGATCGAAATGACTTTTCGCAATAATCACATTTGAATGGCTTAATATCGTTGTGTACTCTCATGTGATAGTCATATCCTGATTTAGTCAATAAAATACGCTCACATCCTTCAAACTGACATGGAAAAGTTGGTCGACTGCTGGTTTCATCAAATTCACGAGTTTTGGGATGGTAAGTTCTCGTGGTTTTGTTAAGATTCATAAATGATTTTACAGCAAATGATTGTTCTGGAACAGTCATATTATTCTTTGAACGAAGTTTACGTCTTGGCTTTTTTGTTGCGCAAAATGAAATGTCTGTCTCCAACAAAAATTCATATTCTTTATCAGGCACTGAAGTTTTGACTTCTTCAACTTTAGTTTCAACTTGAGCATTAAATTTGGTGTCAACTTGAGCATTAACTTTGTTCTTAACTTGAGCATTAACTTTGGTGTCAACTTGATCAACAGTTTTGATTTCCTTGTCAGCTATTGGATAATGCAAATTTTTATGTGATGACAAATATTTCAAGTCTTGGCAATATGATCCACATTCAACGCACATATAAAGGTTCTGGATGTTTGGATGTTTCGATTCATAATGATTGATCAAGGCAGGAATATTATAAAATATTTTACCACAGCAGATACAGCAATAGCAAAGATATTCGTAATGATGTTGAGAAACAAAGTGATTAATAAACGGAGACAATGAAGTAAAGATTTCATTGCAGTTTTCAGGACATCGAAGCTTTAATGTATTTCCGTGAGTCTTGAGATGATTCAAATATCCAATCAATGATGAAACTTTTGTTTTACAGCTACAATCAAAGATCATCTCACTCCACACTCTCTTAGTAACGACATTATCTTGTAGCCATTTGAACGAAATTTCACCGTCAAGCTCCAAGTTCTCTTGATCGACCATTATCCGTGAAAACTTTTCAAAATCCTTTAATGGATCTTTATCGTTGAGCTGAAACAACTTCCGGACATCATCAAATGAATTTCTTACCTGAAATATTAAAAGCTTTTAATATAGAATCAAACATGTTTACTGGATGTTACTTACACTCATCAATTTTGCTTTTTTAATAACTTCCTTCTTTGGTGCTGTATCATCTTTTGCTTCTTTTACAGGAGGCTCTGAAGGTTTCTAAGATAAGAACTTTTTTATTAGGAATTCAGCAATAACCTGAAATTATATAATTACTCTTTTAAGTCTTCGATGATACGTTCTTTCATTGCGCCTCCAAGAGTCAGCTTTAATGATGAATAAGTTTATTTCAGCCTCACAAGTAATACAAATCTTTTGTGGTAAGCTTGAATCATTGCTATAACTTGAGCTTTTTTTAAAAAAAAGGAATAAAATTAAAAAAGAAAATAAGAATAAAAAGTAAAAACATTGTTTTTTACCCGCTAAACTTTTCAAAGTAGCATTTATAAGAAAGTTTTTCAGATGCTAGTTGATCTAAAGTGATTTTTAAATCCGCTTGAGATTTTTCCAAATTGCAAATTCTACAAACTTCCATTTTTAAATGTTATTTAATATTTTTAACTAATCAAAGCTCATTTTTATATGTCAGCAATTTTATTAAGTTTTACTGTTCAGAATAGGCTAAATCTTGTCTGTCTGTCCATAGTTTTATACAATTTAAATTTATCAATTCCGTTAAAAATAACGAATTTGTAAGATTATATCGAATTCAATTTTAAGGCATTAATGAGTACCATTGGATACGTAAGACTCAACAAAAGGAAATAAAGAATTGAAATGGAAATGCAATCGACAAAACACATAAATTTTATTCACGAATTATTGTTTCGAGACATGAATATTTTTTTTGGTGGGATGATCAGAGATTCCAAAGATAAGCATTAGCTATTCAGCGATAGCATTAATCATTTAAGATCATTCTATATAAATTGCAATTAAAGTGGGTATGTAATTAAATAATTGAAACTGATGATCGCAAATTAATTTATTGACATATACTGCGTATTCTTTTGTTCCCATGAAACTGAATGAATATTCCAACAGATCTGCTGTAAATAAGAGTATGAGAAGAGAAATCAGCGGGAGAAGCCAGACTATATATTTAATACATTTTGGGGCCGTTCACTTATTACGTTCGCATTTTACGGGGGAGGGGGGGGGGTTGAAAAATTGTAACAAAATGTAACATAAGGGGGGGGGGGGGGGTGTTGTAAAAAAAAAGTTCACAAAAAAAATTTGTTTACAAATTCACACCAAAAACATTTTTTTAAATTTTCCACCTTTATGAACGTTCAGGGGGGAGGGGGTTGCGAGTTGTAACATATTGTAACAAGGGGGGGGGGGGGGTTGAAAAAACGTAACGTAAAAAGTGAACGGCCCCTTACGTATTTTTTTTGGAAGACTCAATTATCATAGTTATGGCGCCTAAAATGCAAATAAAAAGCAGCCTTAAACATACATAAAAAATGTGTAATTATTACTTTTGCAGCAAAAGTTCTGTTGTAGACTCTCCTGATTAATTAATTCACTGATTCATATATCAATTCGCAGCAATTCGCATTCGTAAGCGACTCACTCTGACTTGCAGAATGACTTCGATTTTTTTTAACAAAAAATGTAAATATCAAGCTGTATATTTTATATTGAAAGAAGCAAGTTTTTATAGAGCTATTGATGCATAATGAAGAAACAAGAGAATTTTCAATGAATGCGTTACTTAAGTTTATTTTTTCAAGAGATTCGTTTTCGTAATTTGCACTTAATTTCCTTGCATTATGAAGCGTGATTGGAATAAAAATTTCACTACTGGATCTCTAATAGTCAATAAGTAAATTGACTCAATAATAATTCCAATGGAATTTTTGTGAAATCTACAAGGATGAAAAAAAAATACAATTTTATGAACCTTCGCATTAATCATCAATTAACTTTCAATATTGGAAACTAATGTCACTGTTAAAGGTTTGAAGCTTGTGTATCGATTAGCTTTGACAGAGAAGTTTGATGAAATTCAGTTTCAATGTTATGATCTGTGTCTAATTATGTTAATGCTACTTTGTGCATATGATGAAGGATTTTCAAAATAAGATTGGTTCAATAACAAGATCAGATTAACAACCAACCGAAAATCATAGGACATTGGAATCTCAATTTACATCAATATTCTGGTTACAGTCTTTAATCGTACACAAAAACAATAATTCCCAGACCTGAGAACTAACCTATTTTGCATTTTGTAAGGTGCTAATGAATTCAATCGAATTCAAAGTAAATTCCGTTCCAATAATTGTGAAATTTAATTTTCAAGGCTGTAAAGGAAACTTTATTCAAAACACAGGACTGCAACATCCACATGTGCACATATGGGCAACTTAATAAAAAAGCAATATCATGTACAGACCGATCGTCAGTCTAAATCGCTTGCCTTCAATGAAAAAGGCATTAAAACAACATCAAATGTTGTCCACATTGTTCAAATTGTAAGTTATTGACTTTTAATTAATTTAATTATGTCATCTTCATTTCATGATTTTTTTTGCTTCCTTCATTCTCCTAACCAATTTGAGTCTCCACAATTAAATAATTAAGCATGAAGAATTTTTTTGATGTCTCGTTCAAATTCAATAAATCCCCTGTTGATTTAAATGCCATAACAAACTGCGATATTTAGTGAAATTAATAAAAAAAGAAGAAGAAGCAGAACTGTCCCCGAATGTACGCATTTAACAATGGAAAATGGTCACAACAAATGCATGAATATGGGAGAAATTATTAACAAATAAATGACAAAAATTTTGTCAATTGAATGAAATTTGTTTTTTTTTTATATCCAGTAATTACAATTAACATTATGCGGGAGTCATTAAAAGCTAATAAAATTAATATTATGACAACATGATCTAATTGGTCTAGTATGAATGAAGAAGAGACAAAAATAGGCATTTACTATGTTGGTGGCATAGATATATAATTCGAATGAAACACTCACTCACCTTCAAAGCATAATCGAGTATGTTCATATATTTTTTTATATATAGAAATTAACACGAGTTAAAGATGTAGTATGATGTTAGGGACGAAAGTGCATTTTTCTATAGATTGATAGCTTCATATTTTGTATTGAGCTGTCATTAAATCTTATATTGGGGGTCCCCGATTTGAGTAGATTCGATTTGAATAGATTCGATTTGAGAAACGAAAATTAATGAATAGAAAATTTAAATTTTATTTTTGGACCGGACATTTTTCATACAAAAAGTAAGTTATTCGATTTGAACAGGATTTTTCTGGAACAAAACACCTACTCAAATCGAGGACCCCCCCCCCCCCCCCTAGTAATCCAAATTTCAAAGGAAATTTGAATCTAATCCAACTTTAAAGGATGAAGAATGTCTAGAGTTGCACAATTACGGTCACAGATACTACATACTCAGCAGTAGGTTAGTAAAGATCGATGAAAAGTAAATGTTACGGAATAACTGTCAATGAAGCTGACCATAGAGTTTCCAGAAAAGTAGCTAAATGATGTTCAGTTGCTGTTTGAGAAGAAAAAAGTATGAACATTGCAATACGTCAATAAATCTTTTTCTCACGCTTTTGCCATTGATTAAGAGTCATAATGCACTTCAAATTCAAACTAAAAATGGAATTAAAGTAAATATCTTTTATATTCTCCACAGTGTCTTTTATGTTTGATATCTATTACATGTGCATGATATACATACAATTTTTTTTGTGCCAAAGCTTCATTAGTGTAAAATTGCCAATTTGTTATAGCTCTTTAGTGTATTGCCTATAGCACACGTTGCCGTTTTTTTCCTGCAATTACTATGTATGATTGATATCAGTGTTAGTTTTATTCATTTGGCGGTCCGTGTTCAAAGGAAATCTTTCTCTTTTTTTATATTTATCTGTTTGGCTTCTTGCGCCATCAAAGAATGTTTAATGCTTTTTTTTATATTTATATATATTTTGCTGTAAGAAGGGAATATTTTTATTTCCAGAGATTATTGAATTAATTTGTTTTTGCCTTTTAATCTTTCCTTCTATCGAACGATTTTGGCATGATTAAAACGCAGGAATGCAGCTACTGTATAGATTGAATTCAAATAAACATTTTTTTTACCTTTCTTTTTTTTTTGATTCATTCGATGCATTCTTAAGTTCCTTTTGTCTCCTCAACATAAACTTCATTCTATCTTTGTCTTTCCTACTTATGCTACGCAAAATATGTTCTGAAATTTTCAACGGTAGATTGTGACAATGTGCCGAAATTCTTTTGTCGGTTCTCATTCAGTTAATGTAGGTAACAAGAAAAATTGGCAATGATAATTTGCATTTCTCGCATCAAACGAACATTTACCGCTCTAGATGTGTTCCACTTCCCTTTTGGGGGCTTTTGACAAATGATGTCTATCAATTATTAGATTTTCAAATGCTCGTGTGTCTATCATTGACTGTTTACTTAAAATTATGTTTCCATTGAGTATTGACCCAGTTAAAATAAGTTCCTAATTGATCTAGTGGACCGGTCCTTTAAAATAACATAGTTGATCCTGTAATCTTGAGTTTTTAAGGCTTCAATATGAAATTTTGTAATTGAAGTGATTCAGCTCTTTTTAAAAGCGAGGGGAAGACATTATTGTGGGAAATCGGTGGTTTACTTACTTAATTCGCTGGTCTAACAGATCAATTCTGATCCATGACCTCCCTGAGATGTCTCATCGCTTGCGAATTTCAATTACCAAATGCAATGCTGTCTCTATCAACAGCATCTTCCCATAAGTTCATTGGTCTTCGACGTAATCTCTTGCTATCTACAAAGTCCGATTTGAGAACCTTATTTAATGGAGATTCCACAGATCTTCTCATAACATGTCCATCCCATGAAAGTCTGTTCACTTTTATTCATTTCAAGATGTCAATAAAAATGCGATTTCAATTAAATTTAAGCTTATCCTCGTACCCCTCATAGCCCAAACTATTGGACATAATGAGTGATTGCCCCATTTGTCACAAAGCAAAAACAAAAAAATCTTTTTGAAAGGAATTCATCTCCCGACTTTATTATATGAAAATATTTTATGGATTGTTAACTGTTCATTTTTATTTCATTTTCAAGACTGAAAAATCATACAATTTTTGAAATTTTTCGTACATCCATACACATTAGTCGACCAAAAAAATTAAGAACACAAAAATAAGAATTTTTCATCAATTATTTTTGTAAAAAAAATAAGGTGGATATAAATCTTCATGCTTAAGACTATAATTTACGCATTTTATACACATTATAAGAATGAAAATATAAATAAAATAAATTAGTAAGATAAGTACAAGAATTTTATTGTTTAATTACTATTAAGAAGTTACAGTTGAGTTCAATGCGTGACTATAACGCATTTTTCTGTTTTAATGGACAGCATTAGTGAAATTTTACATTGGATTATGAATCGCGTGAATATCATCGTATTTATTGAGGTAGCAACAGCCTTTTTTTTGCAGACTGTCAAAACATTAATTCAATTAATTATCACGATGAAAGGAGCTATTAATTTCACAGTTCATAAA